CTGTTCTCTTATCTTACATTGTCATTTTCCTTTCGCATCGCTTGTGTATTTACAGAATTCAGAATATTGTTGAATACAGAATATTGGTGTTTACTACATGTTGAAATCCATCGCAGTACAAAATGACACGACAAGAAGTTGACAAACACCCTCTTAGTTTCTATCTGCATCTCGTCTAGTTCACTATGAATTTGCTATCCTCGCCATCCTCGCTACACAACGCCGTAGCAGATTGACGGAATGATTGCTCGTTGAACAATACAATCGAATTGCTCATCAATCAAGGAGCGTACAAATGAGCTGAAGGCTTTGAGTCATCGCCTTCAATTTCGTTAGACTCGTAACCAACATGCATATGCGCGCTTTTTGAGATCTTGAAGGATTGTCCGCAGCACCAGGCTGGTCACGAGCCTGCAGTTTCATAACACACCAGAGATTTGCAGTCATTTAGTCATCACACTGCTGAACAGGTTCCAAATCATTATCTGCATCGCCAAGATTGCTTCTCGAAACATCTGAAGAATAAGGCTAAGTCTAGCGCTGTAATTTACAGGCCGATGAATAAAGACTCGCAACTGGGCATGCAAAAAACTAACCAGAAAATTCAGACACTGCAATCTAGTATTCCAAACACGGCGCACGGCTGAAAGCTTCGGCTGGCTTACCTGGTGGTTATTGAGGCGCAGGTACCAAGATGAAGACTCGGGTGCAGCTGGAGGCTTAGGGCATACACAAAGTGAATGATCACAATTGGCTGTCAAAATTAGGTGGGACAGAGTCCTCTCCATACAGCAACTCCTGCCGAAACCGCTTTCGTCGAAATGACTCAGACTATAAGGTATAGTACCTGAAGACAATTAGATCTTATTCTGATGAACGAAGTTACGCATAGAGGATCACAGCACCTCTTGACTCTTAACTTGTCTTGCGATTTCCTGTGTAATCCCTTGTGCGCACGTCAAGAGAACAGCAGGTACCAGAGAACTTTCTGGACGTGCCTCATTTTCTGCTGTGACAGAGTTCCAGGCATCCATGACCTGAGTCGTTCCGTATTTCTTGGTCTGATTTTCCAAGCAAACAGCATCGATTGGCTGTCATAAGTGTATTGCTCGTGTTTCTCTGGGACATCACGAAAGGGAGCCCTTAGTAGCATTGGCTCCAAATACTCAGATTTTCAGCACTATCGCACGATGTCGATAAGTACTTTCACTTTAAGGGTTTTGAAGCATGTGCCGGCCCCCAGGGTTCTGTCGAATGAGAACCAAGTTAGGACCGTTCGGGCTCAAGGAAAAGAACTACTGTGGGTTCTAAATTTAACACTACCCCTTCGCAGTGGTGGGGAGGAGCACTCACTAGATTGGGTAGTGCAACACCAGCGCTGCAAGTACAAGCATGTTCATCACATATATGCCGTCAGTCGGCACGGAATAGGCGAGGCTTAATCAATGTCATGCTATCGATACTGGAGGTCTCGTGACTTGAGCTTTCCCTCAGTCCAGGAGAAACTCCAGTTCATAGGGCTGGGCGAAGACGCAGCGTGCGTATGGAACTGGAATTCGTCAATCATACAGCATAGTGACTAGACAATAACCATGGATGGAATATAAGCGAAGTACCATCGAGGATGCTTCACGCATAGCTCCACATGAGAAGGTTGTGGAAAATGCTAGATGGATGTCATTGATAAACTATAAGCCGAAATACATCGAGAAAGAAATGATGGAATAGAAATCTATGTGTTGCGTCTGTATTAGTGACCATTGCTGTACAGAGGAGATACACAGCAGAGGAACAGTACGGAACGAGCCAACCAGGGCAAGGTGACGATTGCACAGTTGCTGCAATAACTGTAGTGGTATCAATATCAGAAGCAGGGGGTGTGGTGGACGTCGATGCTTGACCTTGCTGTTGCTGCATCCGTTTCGCCTTCTCACGGTCTTGTTCAGGATGTCAAGCAACAAATAGTACCTGCACAGAAATCATTGAACGACAGAAATAGAAAATGTATGAGAAGAAAACATACCTGTGTAGCTTTGACTGCTCCACTGGTGATAGGTCAAGAGTGGCGGAAGACCGAAGAAATACAGGCGAGGAGCACGATTGACATATAAATGATCAATCATGGATATCGCAAGATATCACGCATGGGAGAGGACTAAGAGAACATCAGTCAAAACAGAAACTGGTAAAAAAACATTGACGACACACATGAATACCGTGTCACGCGTCATCACAAAAGCCTTGGTGTAGTCAATGGGCAACATTCTGGGTTGGATGTCGCGTCGCATTATTCTAGATGGAAAGGCTACAGAGTCCACGGAATCTTTGTGCTGGATGGGTGGTCCAACTTGGAGGTATGCATTCGCGCGAGGCGGTCATTCTGAAAGAAGCTTGTTATGATGACATTAACATCGAGTTCATCCAAGTGGCAGTGTCGAATATCCCGATCCGGAGAAGTCCGAGGCTTCCAAGTGGCAGTGTCGGCCGGCCATACAACCCGGAGATGAGCTTTTCCCATGCAAGTCTGGCCGTTTTTCAAACATCCCAGAATTTTACTGCGCCATCACGATTTTTGATGTGTCGGGTTAGTAGATCACCCCCACATGTACTTGGTCTTGATTGGACCAAGTGCTGTTTCTCCGCTCTCACAAGTACTCTTGCCGTCCCATCCTTGGATTCACTCATATGCCACTCGTTCACTATCTCTACTCCAGCACACTGATTGTACCAAATCAGTATACCCCGTCCATTTGGCAATGACCCTCCCTGTCTCCACTTCCAACAACCTCACTATCCTATTAGCTTAACAGTTTGGCCGTTTGGAGACAACGTTATGATAGTGAACACCAATCCCAGAGTCCCTTTATCTCGCCAGTCGTCTCAAAGCTCTTCAGGTCCTATAGTGTGAGTCACCCGTTCTACGAACCTGTGATGATGCGTCGTCTCCCAGGCAAGTGCACAATACCTTGTACTTGCTGGTGTGACCTCTCATCGTCTGACGGGGCTTAAACAATGGCGTCTGTAGTTTCTTACTGGTTGGAGAAGACATGGTCGGCGTTTGGCGTGTCACAACTGATGGACTTTGTTTTCAAGGGTAGCTAGCTGGGTTGTGCAATTGGAGGGAGTCATTTGGCAAGGGCAAAGGATTCCGATGAGTCTACTCAGGGCCTATATTCCTATCACAACGCGTTGCTAACCTGCTTACAGGAATTAAATCCTGACTCACAGGATGATTCCAGGACTGTGCGCAGGAGTTGCTACACCGCTATCCAAGAATATGCAAGAGATCTTTGCAAGAGCTCAAAGTCGCTGCCAAGTGAACAATCACAGGCAGTCTCAGTCACCAGCGATAGGAAGCATGGGCTTAAGCTGAGAGCTAGCGGGAGTTTTGGAGTCGAGATAGTCAGGCACACGTTCGTAAGTTTTCTTGTTTGAAGTTTCATGTGTCATTCTGTGTCTGCTGGCCGCTTCACAGGTTAAACGCTGTGTATACGAAGCGCTCACCGCGAGCGAGACTGGCTGCTGACTTTGCATGAGCGTGAATGGTTGTTGACCTAGAGTGGGGAAGAGTGGGTGCTGTGTGAGAGTGGGCGAGAACAGGCATGGCGGTCAACCTCTGCGATATCTCTTTAGGTGACAATCAAAGACTTCTCGAGCATACCGGAAGTGATCGGCGAGTGTACAATCATCCTAAAATTACTGCCAGTGTTCCAACAGTTCAAGCTCGAGTCCTTCGCTCGCGCCTGCATGGTGGATATCATGCCAACAAATTACGGAGTGCAGTGGTTGTTCCATCGTTCATGCTCGCATGTTCGACATAATACAGAAGGAAGGACTACTACGGGACGCTAAGACTAAGCATGTATTGGTACACAATATTACGATCTCCAAACAACTGTATCTATAGGTCCTCGACATTAAGAGCAGGCCTCTCCTTGCGCACGCGAAATAGCTTTTTCTCTGCAACGATTCCCTTATAAGCTATATGAAAGTTGGTTTGCATATCCTCCGTGCTGCCAGGAACTTTCTGAATGAATTCTCCGACCTCCAAGACCGCACGTTTGAGGGCGTCAATGTCCCGGGTACGATGATCTGGTGAGGAAGGCTCTAGCTTAATGCGCAATCGCAAGCCCTTCTTGAGGAGCAATCTGTAAACAAGTCTGAACGTTAATCATTGTATGATGCTGGGTAAGTTTTGACTAACGTGATCTCGCTTCTCTGCCTGCCCAACTCCTCGAGCTTTTCATGGGACGCTTTACTGAGGTCTTTCGTCTTCGCCTTTGCAGCGTGGGTGAGGGTAATGCCTTGTCCCAGGCACGCCAGAAGGTGGGGCAATGGTCCAAGAAAAAGAAGTCGGTAATAGCTTGGACGCCATTCAGAGGACCGCGTCTCCTTGAGGCATGTCTTGAATATCGCATCGATTTCTACATCTGCCGCAGAGCCTGAACGACGCCAAACGTGAAAGTGATATGCATACTGAATCCTGCGAGCTGCTCGGTCTTGCTCTTCCGATGGCCCGCTGGAGCGAAGGGACTCGTCTGGCACAGGGTCGAGGGATGTAAGGGATGTGACTGCGTCGTCCGTGTTTTCCATGTCATCAGTGGTCTCGGATTCATCGACCACAGGAACTTCATTTTCCTCCACTTCTTCATTGGTCTCATGGGGTACCAGTTCCAAGTTCTCCTTCTCGGCCTGACGAATCTCTACATCATCTTTGGGATGCTGCATGCAAGGCACGAAGATAGCTGCCTCCGCCCTCAGCGTAGACTGTGCAGCAACCATGTGCGAAGAAAGAAGCCTATAGGGAATTTGACTAGCTCTGTCGTAAAACAGTTGTCGCACAGACGAGATTTGAGTAGATTGCCTCGTCTTGTGAACAAGTTCAACAAGATCGCTCCCAGCATTGTTATAATTGAAATCGAGAACGGCTCGTAGGTAGCCATCTAAGCGAGGAATTCCTCTGCCAGGCAAAAGCGCCATATGCTCAACAACGTCGTCCACGAGTTTTCGATAATATGCAGGGCGCTGAGGACTTTTGGTTTTGTGCAAATGAAGCATGATCGAATTTACTTTGCGCTTGACCATAGGGTATTGCGTGTTATGAGCAACTGTTGCAATAAGTTAAAATTTGTTGATTTACGACGAGCTGGAGCAGACGCACCAAGGCAAAGAGTCCTGCAACTGTGGATGTATAGGTATAAGTGACTCATTGTATATAGGCAGTCAACTGAACTTACAGCCGGAAGATGAAAATATTGCGAAGCAACGGTGTCACATTGGTAACATGTGCAAGCCAAAGAAAATCTGCTGATTCGTGAGTGTTGAACACGGTCTGCAGTATACAAAAGTTCTACCCGTGGCAACAACCATGCGCAGTCTCTTGATTAGATCCCCTATCGCATCCAAAAACGAGCCTACTGTCTCCGGTTTGACGTCTTTTTTCACAGAAAACTTGTAGGGGAAGATCAACCAGTTAGATGGAAGAACGACACCGTGCAGTGGAAGTTCGTCGAGGGTGGGGTCCATTCTGTGATTGATAATGAAAGATGAAAGGATATCCTCTATGCAGTCGCATAGAACAGATAGATTGACGCGTAAACGGTTGTTGAGGACATACCTGCAGAATTTTTAGCATGTGCATGAGAACACAAGGCGTAAACTCACTGTAGAAACAGAATTCCCGATGATATACTGCTTGGAGTAGCTCCTCGGTAAGAATTGAGAATGTCCGTCACCAGGTAGCGATTATCTGGTTTGCGGAGGAGCTTGATGGATCTATTTTGGGTGAGACACTTTGCCTGAGCAATATAGGTGGGAGCATTATTCCGGTCAAAAACGAAACCCAAACTGGTGATTCTCATCAAGGTCGTCAGAAATTGAGGGCTCGTGGATGGGTTCAAACGATAGAAAGATTCGCGGATCCAGTTCTTTACTACTCTCAAGCCAGCTGGACCATGCGGAATGATGGTCAAATCAAGGTCCGCAAAGGAACCTTGAATGAACAAGGGCGGAGTCAGCGCCTCGTAAAGGTGCTCAAGCCAGTCCCTCATACTAACAACAGTATCAGCGTATACTTCAGCCATAAACCACACCGGGCACACCTTTCCCATTGCATCGTACTAGGATGCGCGGAATACAAAAGTTGTAAGATGAGAATCAGCTGCATGTGGATCGCAACGTGGGCGTTGTATTGCGCGCGGTCCAAATTCGACATCGTAACATGTTCCTGGGGGCATCCCTTTCTTTGGCAGTTCCCGTAGACAATGTATGGCAAGCACTGCAAAAAGACTGGAGCACTGCAACACATTTCATCCAGCGCCAAAACCTTGTCCTTCAAGACAGTTCGAATGGACTGATGTATCAATTCCGTCGCATCTCTACGAGAGGCCTTATATCCGGATTGGTGCATCGAAACCAGACGGTTGTTTTGAGTTGCCGTCACGCTGTCATGGAGGAACGTTCCACTCGGTATGAGAAACTCGTCGCCCGACAGTGGCTCGATCGAAAACAGTCTTTGCACATCGCATTCACGGCGCCCTAAGGGGTCAGGCAAGGTCGAAGTTTGATAGAGTAGTCGTGCATAGGTATGAAATGTTTCAAGAAAGCTTGCCATTTCATGGAGTTGGAAAGGACGAATGTCTGTCGATCGAGTGAAAAAGTGATCCAGGCAATGGAGAGCGGCAGTGTGATGACCATGTTCCTGGAAGGTAAGCGCGAGTTTCTTCAACAACTCGTGATCTTCTCGCAAGATGCTCTGAAACATCAAAATCTGCATACGGATCAGTTCGGTTGGTACGTTTCAGTAATGTACAATATATACCAAATTACGAGTTGTAGGCTTCAGTTTCTTCATCTGCAGCTGATCAGCAAGGGCGATAGCTTGCCGCACTGAATCGTCAACAAGAGTGGTTTTGGGGGTGATCCTGAATGAGCATTTGCGCCACATGAATTCCAGAAGAGTGTCGGCCGCCCGAGCAGCTGAATCAATGTTTCTGTTGTCCTTCAGGAATGCTTGAATTGCTTCCATGGGGTGGTTATCTGATAGGTGTATCTCCGCGACTTCATAGTACCTCGAGTGAGACTCAAGAAGGGAAATACGAGCACGATCCAAGTCGTAGTCCTCCAAAAACTCGAGTTCCTCATTAAACGACGAGAATAGAGGTACAGGGGCTCTGCACGATCACTATTAAACCAAATCATGGTAAAATTGTGGTCACTTACTGATCATCGCTTCTGCCGCAGTAATGAAGCCGACATACCATCCGCAAATCTGTCGCGGTCTTCTCAGGTATCGTGGCGTGATGGTCAGTAAGAACATGGAGCGTCCTGTCAAAAGATCCAGCCTTGCGATATTTTTTTGCAGCTAGCTCAAACTCTTCAGCCTTGAGATAGGTATCAGCAGCTTTGAGGTCTTGTCCTCCTCGAACGTAGCAATCCGCCGAGGTGCGATAATATTGACGTCTCTCGTTGCCCATCGCAGCTGCCCCACAGTCAGCAAATGCATCTGCTGCCGCAATAAAAGCCCTTTGCTGAACGTTAAGTAAGTCCACTCCAACACTGGAACGCGCTGCCTCCCGTAGTAGATAAGCTTCGCAAACCTTCACTTCGCGGCGACGGTCAGCGCGCTTGAAGCAATGGATAGCTTGTGAGTAGCGCTTGTGCAAGAACAGTGAGCGCCCGGAGGATGCCCATTCTTCCGGAGTAGAGGGGTCGGCTAGAGGAGAAACATCGGTGCCGCGGGTACAGGTGTCGATTAGATTTTCAGACTCCCAGAAAATCTGAGGGTAGAAGATTATCGAATCAAGTAGCGCACGAGATGCAGGTGGTATAAACGTACACGCATAGCATTAGACTTATCAGACGTGTCGAAGATCCATACATTCTTCCTTGCTCGGGTAATCCCCACGTAGAGGAGTTTCAACTAATCAAAGTAAGTAACGTCTATTCCTTGATTGATGGACGGTGTACTTACCTCACTGCATAGTCCAGCGTACCGAGTCTCGTCACGATAAAAATCAGGCACATATCCCTGATTTGGTACCCCGTTGAGAACTACCTGCCAGCGTAACGCATCTATGGCGGAATCTCCGAAAAAGTTGTACAAGAGAACCTGGCTGGAGTCAGATAATCGTCAGATAGTCAAGGTCAGCTTTCTCACATCGTCGAACTCAAGGCCTTTACTATCATGGAGCGTCCTGAGCAGATGCATAAACATGAGAATCATGGAGCACAGATGATTGTGAGACGACTCACATAATCATTGCAATATCACCTACATTTTCTCGCAACTTCTTGACCGCTGCTTCATTACGCACAAGTATGCCTATAAAATAACTTTTCAGAACATGAACAGAACCTTGAGCAGGCGCCTTTTACACTGGTGGGCTCCAAGCTCTAAGTTACTAGCACTGCAAGAATCTCAGCACGGGAACGATGAAGATTAAGGCGGTCTACTTACCTCTCGCCAACCAAAAAGCGTTTGCAGTGAGCGTCATTATCCATGTCCGTGAAAAATTTTGGCTTCATTCCATCGACCATCCCTTTTTCAGGTTGGAGGTGATCAATTGCATTTGGCCAGAACTTCGTGATGAGCTCGATGACAGAGTGAGCACAGTTCACGATGCCATTGTGTGACCTGTAGTTGGTGGCTAATTGGAACATCATTGGTTGCTGCGCAGAAGCTCCAGTGGGAGGGGCTACTAAGTTACCGTGACGCTGTAGGAAGACATCAGATCACACTCTGAGACACGATCACTGGTCGCTAACCTCCATACGATAAACAAATGCCTTCAGATCGTTGAACCTGAAGGAACTTCCGGCAGAGATCGTCTGCGCAGTATCCCCAGCCCAGAAAAGACCATCTGGATTCCTACACAGTCGCCTCAAAACTGAAACAGAAAGTTCCTTCACACCCTTGTACTGAAGAAGGGAAAGATGACTTACCCATTGCGTCAATCAAAAGATTGTCTTGCGCCTCGTCGACATACCTGGTGTAACCGATCAGGATCCAGAGTCAACCAGACAGGAGATATACATACAAGTAATCAACCTGTTGACCAGGAAATTTGTGATCTTGCAAAACCTTGAGTATCGCATGTGTACTGTTTGAAGTTAATTTTGGGTTTTCAACGAGTCTGAACAAAACTGCCCGTACCGATCCGCTACATCGAAGTGGCGTTTCTGCTTCTTAAACTTTCTATAGATCTCGAACATATCATAGAGAGCGTCTCTTTGGTTTGCAAAAATCGGATAGGAGCGGTGGGAAAGACCGAGGTAGCATGGACGGTCAAGGAATCCATTCGGAAAGGCCAATGCCTGTTCGGAGCCTTTGATGATGCCTGCGAGGTGGTTCAGGAACTGCTTGTTTAGATAACAACTTCGACTTGCCCATAAACTCGCTGAAGACCAACCATGAACCTAGGTGGGACACGTGAGTGTATCATCTGACAGAAAGGAAGCGGTATTACTAAGGTTCTTGGTGAACGGAAAGTGTGGCCAATATTGCTTTTCGAATACAGCATAGGTGACAAACGAGTCATGCGCCTCTGCATCGTTAGTATTGAAGAACAGTTCGGCGCTACGTCTCGTCTCAGGATCGTCCATATTGAAGATATCGGCCGCGATCATCCTTGCTAGCTAAACAAAATGAGGTTTAAGACGCTTTGTGAAATACATGGTGACATACTCGATCAAAAGTCACGAATAAGGGGAAATGCTTGTCTTCAAGTTCGCTGTATCTCGCCGGTACATTCATCTGCGACTCAGGAGCATCATCAAGATCAATAAGATCGTCCTCGATGCGTTGTGCCTTAAGTTTCGAAATTTCGTGCAGCGTATAGCCTGCCATTGCGAGGGACTCAAGAAGCCTCGAGAAGTATTCTTCGACTTTTGTTGCCAGCATTCTAGACTTAGTGACGAAAATTTGACGTGGCTTGGGCATGTCATTAGCACTCAGTTCCCAGGCTCGCTGAATGCCAAGGATCTTGAATAACATTGTCGTCGTTTTTCTAGTGGCCCATGAAGTAGACACGCGAGCAAGTCGAGCACAAGGTACTTACCCAGTGCCACTGCGACCCAGAACATAGCATGACGTAGGGCACTCGACAACCTTTTGTTCTCGAGGACTGAAGCAATGTCAATCAATCAACTCATTTCAAAGCAGTATGACATACGAGAGCATGAAGACATGGTGTACATCTTGGTCCGCGATGAGACCTTTTGCAAGAATGAGACGATGTGGATAACCAAGTACAAGGATACTCACTATGCAAAAATGCCTGAAGAGACATTATCAAGTCGTTCCTTATCGAAGAACTATACAGATAAACGTACTTGTGAGAATGTAACATATTTCTCCAGGCTAGAAAGTTGTCAATCATCATGCATCAAATTGCGAAATATTTGTGCATACACAAGCAAAGATTGAAGCTGTACCACATATCAATCGCCGTGCGACAGAAGGATGTGAACACTCAACATGTTCCATGTCCTTTGCACTAAGATCCAGTGGGCTTGCTGGAATTTCTGGTTCAGGTTCCGTCGGCGGGAAAGAGGCTGGCAGAATGACGTTGTCAGCTGGTTTGGTACGAAATATGCATCTGATAGAGCGATTACTCAGTAGGTCCCATAACAGATGACAGGCATGCTCAACCGTTTGCGATATTCCGCACCCCTGCGTGCTAGATGGTTGCCCAAAGCATTCCATATTCTGCCGAGCTCGGAGTGTCTGTAGATCCCATATACTTTGATGACTGGTATTCGCGTGAGTGATGATGAAGATTGGTGGTCATTTGTATGCATGATGGCGCACCTTGTCTCTCGAACTATCAAGAATCGATCTCAGCATTATGTGCTGGTCTTCATGCAAGAATCACATACCTCTCCATTTTGGTCAGGGACGCAATCAATCTGGTACTGTGATAAAAATAGGTTATCTCCTGCCTAGAGTTTCCAGGAAATCACGTCTACCACTAGCCGTAGGTCCTTGGTCATCTTGGCTTCAAAGACAGGAATGCCTGCATCCGGCCCATTGAGTCTCACATGATTGTCGGTTGAAAATTGACCGTGCGAGAGATGTCTGTGGTAATTATAAGATCAATGATATAGATGTCATCAAAAGACGGACTTGATCTTCTTGTAGATAATCTTGAATATTTTTTTGTCCGCTCGACGGTGTTGGCGTAGGTGTTTATATGCCTCGGTGGATATTAGGATTCGCCACTCGCCGAATCCGTTCGCATTGTCGAAGTAAAGAGCAGCCTTCATGGGCTGTACCATTGGATATGCACTTTGTTCTGTTGAGCTCTCGGTGTCTTCGGGGAACGAAACTTCAGGCGCAATATCTTTGGCAGACTCTTCCACGTTAGGGAAGAGCAAGACTTTGATGTCGCCCACTAATTCCGTTCTCCGCAGAAGCGAGAGGTAAAACTTGGGGGAGCTGTCAGGGAATGTCGAAAAGTACATTATGACGATACACACCGAGAGGATAGTCTTCAACTCTGCAAGGATGTAGGTGGACAACGATGTGGCCGCCTCACTCGTGGGAGGCACAGCCATGCCAAGTTTGACGAAGAGTGATGCATCAATAGTTACACAAGCATTCTGGCGGTCACGCTTGCGCATGGCTTGGGACGCTTGCATGTTGACAAACCTGTCATTAGGTTCAACTCCGAAGATATTGAGATCGCTCTCAAGCGACTCTACATCGGCAAATTTCATAGTGCTCAACGCACAAAGCACAGGCTGTGTATCCTCAATGAATGCTCGGTAGCGACCGATGTCCTTCGCGACCTCCCTTGTCAAAGACTCGATTGGCAGTGCCAGAGCATGAACGGACACATTGTCCAGGATCTTGCGTGCAAGGGAGGAGCAGTACTCTGGGGCATCTGTAGGAAAGTCGACCATTATTTGTGAGATCATTTCTGCAGAACGATCCCAAACTATTTGGGAAGTTAGTTGATGTCATGGAAATGAAGTCTGCGAGATACCCGAGACAATGTATGCAAAAACATGAGGGAGAGAGAGCAGATGTTCGATTGCAGGCTGCAATCCGCTGCGACCTCCTAGAGCGTCTAAGTGACACAAGGCGGCTCTGAGGCCTGTTTCGTTGGCCAATCGTTTGGCTGAAAACAGTTCCAACATGTGCGTGGAACTGGAAGAGAAAGTATTCATAGTAAAGCACGAAGAAATTAAGAACGAGTTGAAGCTTGAGCTTGAGCACTTGAATGGTTGTGGTTGGTTGGTACACCAAAGGTCGCAGCCCATCGTAGTGCAAGCTCCCTTATTTATGTAAAACGTGCCCTCTGAACTTAAAACTTGAACTTGAAGGCGTTGGCATCGATATCATAGTAGGTCCAGACCTGCTATCAGAAGCTTTGCAAGACAAACGTGGACTAATGAAATCTAGGTTTTGGGAAGATGTCTGGTTTTGAGGGGAGCTCGAAATTATGTAAAACGCCCAACGACCATAAGGCGTGTAAGGATTAGGGTAGGGGAGACAGTTGACGAAGGTTCCCACGACAAGGTTTAGCTTATCTCGAGCTTCGCTCTTCTATTTATTCTAGGCGTACTCATTTCGAGGTTAGGCATTGACAGCGTTGAACGTTGGGCTTGGAGTTTTAACTTTGAGTTCCCCTAAATAATTAGAATGAACCTATGGACATGGAAGTTCGATCTTCAGAGTACCTCAAGGACGCAACTCTCGAAGAGATATAGAACGAGCGACGATGCCCAAGGCTTGCTTCACTTACATAAATGCGGCATCAATAATTCAAGCTGCGGACTTCGAAACCATCAGACTCACGGTGTTCTACTCACACCAGCCAGCCGCATGTTGAAGCACGATAGAGATTTTCCTTGGTATGATCCTCATATACTATGCACCAATACCCGACTAGTTGCCAGCAATCGCCATGACAGGCGGATCATCGCTCCTAGTCGAAGTTGGTCAGGACACCTGGGATTTAAGCTGAAGGGCAGAGACCAGTTGGAGCTGGCTGTTTGACACGGCGAGCTGATCGGATAACTGAAAAAGAAGTTCAACTTAAGTGTTTCTACTTGTGAAGGTCTAGACAAGTTGGGGGGTTACCGATAAGAGAGCGACGCATCGAGTGCGGCCCTGCCCCATTGGTATAGTGACTTTGGCACGTCATGCAGCACTTTGGACTTCGGAAACGGTCGTTGTTGGGATAGATAAGCTAGCAGCGTGCAGTGAGCTGACCTTGGTATGGGCCGCAGTGTGGTAGTTCCCACATTGTAAGTGTTCTGTTCTCGTTTATTATCCACTTGAGCTTGCTCTCGCGCGCACCGGCATTGATTACGGGAATACATTCAGTACAATATATTGATACACGATGAAACGGCAGTGTCGAGTCTCTAAAATCTTAGTAAAATCAATACTCGTCGATATCCTCGACATTGAGAGTAGGTCTTTCTTTCTCCTTTCGCGCACGAACCTTCTTCTCTGTAACAATACCCTTACAGGCCATTTGAAACTCGGTTTGCATATTTTGCATGTTGCCGGGAACTCTCTGCATGAATTCCTTGACCTCTAGAACTCCGCGTTTGAGTGCGTCAATGTCACGGGCACGATGAGCCGGTGAGGAAGGTTCTAACTGCTTGCGCAATTTCAATCCCTTCTTAAGGAGCATTCTGCAAACGGACGGTGTTAGTCATTGTATGTTGCTGAGTAAGTGAGGACGGACGCTATCTCGCTTCTCTGCTTGCCCAGCTCCTCAAGTTTTTCATGAGATTCCTTGTTGAGAAGGCCTTTCGTCTTCGCTTTGGCAGCACGAGTCAGAGCAATGCCTCGTTCCAGGCACACCAGAAGGTGAGGCAATGGTCCAAGGAAAAGTAAGTTGTAATGACCTGGACGCCATTCAGAGGACTGCGTCTCACGCCATTCAGATGACTGTGTCTCCTTCAGGCATGTCATGAATATCGCATCGATTTCAGCATTCACTGCACGACTTGAGCGACGTTTAACGTAACGGCGGTACGCGTTCTGAATCTTGCGAGCTGCCTCTTTTTCCTCTACTGATGGTCCGTTAGAGCGTAGCGACTCATCAAGATCAGGTGCAAGCGACGTCACCGCCTCATCCAAAGTCTCCAACGCATCACGGGTCTCAGCACCAGTATTCGCCGTGACATCTTCCTCATTTTCATCTGCTCCTTCGAACTCTTGAGGCTGGGGTTCCGTTATCTCTTTCTCATCGTGCTGCATAACCTCTGGTCGGTCCTTGGAATGTTCTAAGTGAGGTACAAAGGCCGGGGCCTCCACTCTCAGAGTAGACTGCGCGATCACTGCGTACGACGAAAGGAGATGGGGGATCTCGATGATCTTCTCGTATACGAGCCGTCGGACTATATGGACTCGGGTATGCTGGTTCATCGTTTTGTGGACAAGGTGCACCAGATCGCTCACTCCTTTGTTGTTGTCGAAAGCCAGGAGAGCTCGCAGGTAACCGTCTGAAGGTGGCATCCGTCCTGGCAAGGGTGTCATGTACTTGACCACGTCGTCTACGAGTTTCCGATAGTTAGCTGTACGCCAACTCGAAGGAGGGCTGTTCTTGTGCAGAGACAGCATGATCTTGTCAACTTTGTCTCTCATGGGGCGATTTCTGATATTATGAGCAACTAACGAAATGAATTCAGCAGCCAATTAGGTTTTAACCGGAAAAAAACGTACGAAGGCAGAGAACTCTGCAGCTGCATCACGTGTGATTAGTTTGCGCATCGTCAATGAGCAAATACTAAGCTGGACTTACATCCGGGAAATGAAAATATTACGGAGAATAGGCGTAAGTTTCGTATGGTTCAGCCAGAGAAATTCTGCTTAATCATAGTCTCGGAAGGTCTGCAAAAAGTGGAGAAACTCACCCATGCCGGCCTCCGTGCGCAATGCTTCGATCAAACTCGCCATCGCATCCAGGAGGTCATCCATCAATACTAGCCTAGTTTCTTTCTCCGCATTAAATTTGTGGGGAGACAACAGCCAACTGCATGGAAGGAGGGCGTTGTGGAGGGGGAAATCATTAAATGCTGGGTTCATTCGGTACTTGATTATGAAAGCGCTGCAGACATCTTCGATGCAGTCGCACAGCACAGAGAGGTTGGCATATAAACTATTATCGAGGACATGCCTGAATTGCACTTAGTTGAATGCACGTAGGAACAAAAAGAACGCTCACAGAAGATACAGGATTCCAGATGAGATGCTGCTGCGGGTAGCTCCTCGGTAAGAGTTGAGCAGGTTATGAACCATATAGCAACCGTCCCCCTGGCGATAGAGTTCTGACGGTCCGGAGTCCGTACACTTTGCTCGAGAGATGTAGACAGGTGCGTCGTGCCTATCAAAAGCGAAACTTAGACTGGTTATCCCCATCAACGCCGTCAAAAATTCAGCCTGAGTATAGAATGGGTCGAGCGAGTAGAAGGATTCACGGATCCAGAGCTTCACCACTTTCATGCCATCAAGACGAAGAGGAATCAAGTTCATGTCAAGGTCCGCGGGGGAACCTTGAATGAAGAAGGGTGGATTGATAGCCTCGTAAAGATGCTTGAGCCAGTCCCTCATGCTGATAAAGTGATCAGTATGAGTACTCGATTATAAGCAACCTCCAGGCGCACCTCTTGCGTCGTTCAATATATGGATGAGCGGAGTACATGATTTGCAAAATGAGAATCTGCCAGATGTGGATGGCAACGCGGTTGTTGTAATACAGACGATCCAATTTCGATATTGCAACATGCTCTTGGGGACAGTTTTCTCTTCGACATACTCCGGATATCAAGAATTGCAGGCATTGCGAGAAAACGGGAGATTTGCAACACATAGCATCAATCTCCGACACTTTGTCTTTCAAGATCGTTCGAATGGATCGTTGTAGCAGCTGGGTGACATTTCTGCGAGAGGCTGTATACCCAGACGGATGTTCCGATACCCAAGTGATGCCTTGGCGGGTTTCCATCACACAATTGTGGAGGAACGTTCCACCAGGTATGAGAAACTCGTCACCGGACAGCCGCACGATGGAGAACAGTCTCTGAATACCCTGATGCTCCATGGGGTCAGGGAAGGTCAAAATCAGATAGAGCAGTCGCGCATAGGCGTGGAATTGTTGAAGGAACCGTTGCATTTCGTCGACCGCGAAAGGTCGAATGTCTGTGGTTCGAGAGAATACATGGTCCAGACAAAGGAGAGCTGCTGGCTTATTATGTTCATGGAAAGCAAGCGCAAGATTTCTCAACGGCTCATGACTTCCGCGCAAGATGTTCCGAAACATCGATATCTGGATGTCGATCAGTCCAGCTGGTCACTTTCAGACTGCCATTACATACTAGATCACGCGTCTCCGGCGTTAGTTTCTTCGTCTCTAGCTGATCAGCGAGATCAATGAAATGCCGCATCGGCTCATCAGCGAGGGCAGTTTTTGCAGTGATTCTAAAGGAGCATTTGCGCCAGAAATATTCCGATATGGTGTCGGCCGCACGAATAGTAGAATCGACATTGCTGTTGTCCTTGATGAATGCTTGGACAGCTTCCAAGGGCCTATTCTCCGACAAGTGGAGCTCTGCGGCCTCATAGTACCTTGAGTGAGATTCAAGCCGTGAGGCGCGAGCGTAATCGAGATCATAGTCCTCCAGAAACTCGAGTTCCTCATCAAACGTCGAGAAGAGAGGCAAGGGAGCCCTGCGCGACTGCTATTGAATAAAAACATTGTGAAGAGTCTAAGACTTACTGATCGTTGCCTCTGCCGCAGTAATGAAGCCGACATACCATCCGCAAATCTGTCGCGGTCTTTTCAGGTATCATGTCGTGGTGGTCAGTAAGGACATGGAGCGTCCTGTCAAAAGATCCAGCCTTGCGATATTTCTTTGCAGCTAGCTCAAACTCTTCAGCCTTGAGATAGGTATCAGCAGCTTTGAGATCTTGTCCTCCTCGGACGTAGCAGTCCGCCGAGGTGCGGTAATATTGACGTCTCTCATTGCCCGTCGCAGCTGCCCCACAGTCAGCAAAGGCATCTGCTGCCGCAGTAAAAGCCCTTTGCTGGACGTTAAGCAAAGTCACTCCGACAATGGAACGCGCTGCCTCCCGTAGTAGATAAGCTTCGCAAACCTTCACTTCGCGGCGAAGGTCAGCGCGTTTGAAGCAATGAATGGCCTGTGAGTAACGCTTGTGCGAGAACAGTGAGCGCCCGGAGGATGCCCATTCTTCTGGAGCAGAGTGTACGGCTAGAGGAGAAACATTGGTGTAGGGGCGGATTAGATTTTGAGACTTCCAGAAAATCTGAGAATAGAGGATTATCGAACCGCGTGGCGCACGAGATGCAAGTGGTCTGAACGTACACGCATAGCATGAGACTTATCAGACGTGTCAAAGATCCATACGTTCATCCTTGCTCGGGTAATTCCCACGCAGAGGATTTTCAACTAATAAAAGTAAGTAACGTCTATTCCTTGATTGATGAGCGGTGTACTTGCCTCACTGCATATTCCAGCGTACCGAGTCTCATGACGATAAAAATCAGGCACATATCCTTGACCCTGCACCCCGTTGAGAACTACCTGCCAGCATGTGGCATCTACAGCGGAATCTTCGAAAAAGTTGTACAAGAGAACCTGGCTGGATTCAGCTAATCGTCAGATAGTCAAGGTCGGCTTTCTCACATCGTCGAACTCAAGGCCTTTACTGTCATGGAGCGTCCTGAGCAGATGCGTGAACATAAAGATATGAAACACAGATAATTGTAAGACGACTCACATTATCATTCCAATATCGCCTACTTTTTCGTGCAACTTCTTGACCGCTGCTTCATTACGCACAAGTATGCCTATAGAACAACTTGTCAGAACATGAACAGAACCTTGAGCAGGCACCGTTTACACTGGCGGGCTCCAAGCTCTGAGTTACTAGCACTGCAGGAATCTCAGCGGGGGAACGATGAGTATTCAGGCGGTCTACTTACCTCTCACCAACCAAAAACCGTTTGCAAAGAGTGTCGACATCCATGTCTGTGAAAAATACTGGCTGCTCTCCATGGGCGATTCCCTTTTCAGGTTGAAGGTGATCAATTGCGTTTGGCCAGAACTTCGTGATGAGCTCGATGACAGAGTGAGCACAGTTCACGATGCCATTGTGTGATCTGTAGTTGGTGGCCAATTGGAACATGATTGGTTGCTGCGCAGAAGCTCCAGTGGGAGGGGCTACTAAGTTACCGTGACGCTGTAGGAAGACATCAGATCACACTCTGAGACACGATCACTGGTCGCCAACCTCCATACGATAAACAAACGCTTTCAGATCGTTGAACCTGAAGGAACTTCCGGCAGAGATCGTCTGCGCAGTATCCCCAGCCCAGAAAAGACCATCTGGATTCTTACACAGTCGCCTCAAGACTGAAACAGAAAGTTCCTTCACACTCTTGTATTGAAGGGAAAGATGACTTACCCAGCGCATCGATCAAAAGATTGTCTTGCGCCTCGTCGACATACCTGGTGTAATTGATCAGGGTCTAGAGTCAGCCAGACGGGATGTATACATACAGGTAATCAACCTGTTGACTAGGAAAATTTTTATTTCGCAAAGCCTTGAGTATTGCATGCGTACTGTTTGGAATTAATTTTGGATCCAACTAGTCTGAGAAAAACGGCCCGTACCGATCCGCTACATCGAAGTGGCGTTTCTGCTTCTTAAACTTTCTGTAGATCTCGAACATATCATAGAGAGTGTCTCTTTGGTTTGCAAAAATCGGATAGCAGCGGTAGGAAAGACCAAGGTAGCTTGGACGGTCGAGGAATCCATCCTCAAAGGCCAATGCCTGTTCGGAGCCTTTGATGATACCTGCGGGGTGGTTCAGGAACTGCTTGATTGGATAAGGACTGCGACTTGCCCATAAACTCGCTGAAAACCAACCATGAATCTGGGTATGATGTGTGAGTGTATCACCTGATAGAAAAGAAGTAGTTTTACTAAGGTTCTTAATGAGACCCTGCGGAAAATGCGGCCAATACTGGCTTTCGAATACAGCATAGGTGACAATCGAGTCATGCACCCCTGGATCATTAGTATTGAAAAAAAGGACTGCGATACGTTTCATGTCAGGATCCTTCATTTCGATGATGTCGGCTGCGATCATCTTTGCTAGCTAAACAAATGAGGTTTAAGACGGTTTGTGAAATACATGGTGACATACTCGATCAAAAGTCACGAATAAGGGGAAATGCTTGTCTTCAAGTTGGCTGTATCTCGCCGGTAAATTCATCTGTGACTCAGGAGCATCGTCAAGATCAACAAGATCGTCCTCGATGCGTTGCGCCTTAAGTTTTGCAATTTCGGGTAGTGTATAGCCTGCCATTGCCAGGGACTCGAGAAGCTTCGTGAAGTATTCCTCGACTTTTGTTGCCAATAATCTAGATTTAGTGACGAAGATTTGACGTGGCTTGCACATGCCATTAGCACTCAGTTCCCAGGCTCGCTGAATGCCAAGGATCTTGAACAGCATTGTCGTCGTTTTTCTAGTGGTCCATGAGATAGATACATGAGCAATGTCGAGCACAAGGTACTTACCCAGTGCCACTGCGACCCAAAACATAGCATGACGCAGTGCACTCGACAACCTTTTGTTCTTGAGGACTGAAGCAATGACAATCATTAAACTTGTTTCAAAGTCGTAGGACATACGAGAGCATGAAGACGTGGTGTATATCTTGGTTTGCGATGAGACCTTTTGCAAGAATGAGACGATGTGGATGACCAAGTACTATAAGGTTACTCGCCATGTAAAAATGCCTGAGGAGACATTATCAAGTCATTCCTCATCGGAGAACTATACAGATACACATACCTGTGAGAATGTAACATATTTCTCCAGGCTAGAAAGTCGTCAATCATCATGCATCGAATTGCAAAATATTTATACATACACAAGCAAATATTGAAGCTGCACCACATATCAATCACTGTGCGACAGAAGGATGTAAACACTCAACATGCGCCATGTCCTTAGCACTGAGATCCAGTGGGCTTGCCAGAATTTCTGGCTCAGGTCCCGGAATTTCTGGCTCGGGTTCTGTCGGCGGGAATGAGGCCGGCAGAATAATGTTGCCAGCTGGTTTGGTACGAAATACACATCTGAGAGAGCAACTACTCAGTAGGTCGCATAATAGATAATACGTATGCTCAACCGTCTGCGATATTCCGCACCCCTGCGTGCTAGATGGTTGCCCAAGACATTCCATATTCTGCCGAGCTCAGAGTGTTTGTAGATCCCATATACTTTGATGACTGGTATTCGCGTGAGTGATGACGAAGATTGGTGGTCATTCGTTATCCATCATGGCGCACCTTGTTCGAACTATCAAGAATCGATCTCAGCATCACATGCTGGTCTTTGATGGAAGAATTACATACCTCTCCATTTTGGTCAGGGACGCAATCAATCTGGTACTGTGATAAAAATAGGTTATCTCCTGCCTAGAGTTTCCAGGAAATCACGTCTACCACTAGTCGTAGGTCCTTGGTCATCTTGGCTTCGAAGATAGGAATGCCTGCATCCGGTCCGTTGAGCCTCGTGTGATTGTCGGTTGAGAATTGACCGTGCGAGAGATGTCTGTGGTAATTATAAGGTCAGTGATATAAATGTCATCAAAAGACGGACTTGATCTTCTTGTAGATAATCTTGAATATTTTTTTGTCCGCTCGACGGTGTTCGCGTAGATGATTGTATGCCTCTGTGGATATTAGGATTCGCCACTCGCCGAATCCGTTCGCATTGTCGAAGTAAAGAGCAGCCTTCATGGGCTGTACCATTGGATATGCACTTTGTTCTGTTGAGCTCTCGGTGTCTTCAGGGAACGAAACTTCAGGCGCAACATCTTTGGCAGACTCTTCCACATCGCGGAAGCGCAAGGCTTTGATGTCGCCCGACATGTACGTGGAACTGGAAGAGTAGGGTTTCATAGTCAAACACGAAGAAATTAAGACTTGAAGTTTGGGTTCGAGCCGTTGAATGGTTGTGGTTGTGCAAAGGCAAGCTCCCTCGAACGTGCCCTCTGAACTTAAAGCTTGAACCTGAAGGCGTTGACATCATAGACCCAGACTTGGCAAGACGAACTTGGACTAATGAAATCTGGATTTTGAGAATGTTGTTGGAAAGAAGAGTTGATTTAGGGGAGCTCGAAATTCAAACGCCCCTCGCGATCACAAGGCGTGCGAAGATTTAACCTGTATCGAAAGGTTTAGAAATAGCGAGGTTTGGGTAGGCGTGAAAATATTCAGGAATGCTAAGGATTAAGAAGAGTAGTTGACGAAGGTTTAGCTTATCTCGAGATTAGTGGCTTTACTCTTCTATTCATTCTTAGATTCTAGTATACCGCTCAATTCGAGGTTGCTTGGGCGTGTTAACATTGAACACCCCTATTAAATGAACCTATGAACAAGAAAGTTCGACTTTCATTGATTACGGGGTGTTTCAAGGATGCGACTCTCGGCGTACAGTGATATAGCACGAGCGGTGATTCCTGCTCTGACTCAACACGATTCACTTGCATGAATTTAATACAGCTGCGGAAACCATGACACTCCACACCGCATGGACTTATTTCTACTCACACGAGCCAGCTGCATGTTGAAGGCACGATGTGTATCTCTCTTGGCATGATCTTCACAATACTATATATGCACCAATACCATACCAACTAGCTATCAACAATTGCCATAACAGGCGGATCGTCGAAGTTGGCCATTGGATTTGAGCTGAAGGGCAGAAACCCTGACACGGCCTGACACGGCGAGCTGATCGGATAACTGAAAAAGGAGTTCAAGAAGGATTTCTACTAATCTCGGCTCCAGATCCTAGGCAGGCGGAGATTGAAACACTCACACACACAAATCGAACATGTTTTTTGCCTCCGACTTGAAACTCCGCATATGTGGCTGTGCTACATTCTCATGTGCCCTAGAACGTTGGGAACGAGACTAGATTTCTACTTGTGAAGATCTACACAATGGTGGTGGGCAACGCCCACCAGCAAAGCATGTCACTTATATAAGCTATCCCATGCTATAAACACACAGAGAAGTATAGCTGCCGACTCGAAAAACCACAGTCCAGTCACGGAGTGACAGACGTGACTGATGTGACTGATGGGTGACAACAGTCAGCCAATCGAGCGATCGGATTGAGACACCCGACACCCCAGCGCTAATAACCAATCTCAATCTAAATCTAATTTAGTCAGTCGATGTGTGTGACAGAGAGAGACATGCCTCACTTACTGAGAACAAAGGCGCAGATGCAGCTAACAAACACATTTTGCAGGCAGGGACACAGGACTCAGCAAGCCAAGGAAGAGGAGGCCAGCAGGTGCCAAATTCCATTGCCGCCATTTGATGGCTGCTGCATGCACGCTGTGCACACACAAGAACTCAGAGGGCAGGGACCTTCTCATTTCACTCACTGAGGGCATCTGGGGTTTGGCTCTTGGAACAGATGTTGGAGTCTTGATGGCACAAATGAGAGTGAAGGAGGGACAGTTTGTGAAGAGATTGAGAGGGTCTGGAAAAGGTGTGTGCTGACTTGTGGGGCCTAGGCAGTTGCCCTGATATTTTCTGCCAGCACCAATGTAGGCTTCCGAAGAAGAAGACTTTGTGGTCCACAATGTCATGCCCATTTGGGAGGGTCTTTTTTTGCCCAAGAAACCTATGGTGGATGGGTGAGAATCTCTGCCAAAACAGAGGGATGGAGAGTTGGACCATGCAATTTCTTCCCAAAAAACACCATCCTCACATGCTAAAGATGGTCCTGTGTGTGCTAAAGACGATCCCTGGCATGTGACCTGTTAGTGTTAAGGTTGCGTGCTCAAGGGGGTCGGATCACAAGGGCTTGGCCTCAGCTTGTATGCTGTGCCCCTTTCCCGAGTATGTGCCCTTAATTTCCGGGGGCTAGAACAGTTGTCCGGAGTTTCCGGGATTTGACTAGGGTGGATAACGGACATCTGGATCTGAAATGTGAGATAAATCTGATGGACGTCTGGATATTACCTGGGCAAGTGGATAAGACTAATCCAGACGAAGTCCAGACTAGAAACTAACAGAGGATGGACTACCCTTAAGGTAGAGTTGGAAATATAGTCTAGGATGCAATCCTAAGACTCAGAATATGACAAGAGACTTATCTCAAGTCTGGAGGACACAGGAATGAGCAGGAACTAAGATGATATTCAGACTGGAGTATTTCCGAGAGTTACAGGAGGTTTATATACTGTAGGTAACATATAGGAATCAGTCAGCAAACATAAAGGCTATGTACGAAGCATATGCAGAGTCTATTAGTAAGTAGGATGGATCACAAATAATGAACACCAGAAATGAAATGTATGTAACAGATCAATAATCAAAAGGAAAACATGGTTAACTGGAGTCCAGAGACAGGGGCAGTCTAAATGGAGTTGGGCGCTGATATAGGGTTTGGATTCCAGAAGGGAGATAAAGATAGATCAGATCATTTGAGATCCAGATCTCAGATCTGGATATCCGGAGAAGCGGATTTAGAGTTGAGAGTCCAGAATGGCATATGACAGTATCTCCCCCTTTAGGCCAAACCCTTGAGGCACAGGGGGTTGGAAATGAGGGTCCAGGAGAAATGAGTGTGAGACAATGGAGAAGTTGATGGGGGATTCCAGGGGACAGATTTCACAGATATAGTGTTGCCAAAGCATCCTATTTGATTCTTACCCCCCATATTCTTCCATCAGCTTATTCACTATGTCTGGCAGCTCTTCCAACCAATCTAACAAGCCCAAAACTGCCAGGGAGGAACTGGAACTGCATCAGGCCCGGATGAGGGCAGAATTAGCTGAGGTGGAGACCAACATCCATCTGGCTGATGAAGCAGAAGAGCTCTGGAAGGCGGAAGAGCTCTGGAAGGTGGAAGAGCGGAAACATCAGGAGGATGAGAAGAAGAAGCAGAGGGAGTTGGCTGAAATCCGGAAGGAAAGGGCTGAGAAGGCCCGGAGGGCGGAAAAGGTGAGTTTCCTGTGGTCTGGACTGTTCTGGAATTGAAAATGTGCTTGTCTTCAGATGAAATATGATCCAGAGGCATGCAGGAACTGTGTGACTAAGAGGAGGGAGTGCTGTTGGGTTGAGGCTGGTAGTAGGTCCACTGTAAGTGTCTATTTTCCAGGCATCCAGATCTGGTATTTTGACATCTGGACAGATAAAGGCTTGTGATGCCTGCCGGAAAACCAAGGAGAAGTGCTACAGACATCCAAAGGGCCCTGAGGAGAACTGGAAATACTTTGATCAGGCCTCATCCGTGTCTTCCAACAAGAAGAGGACTTGTCCAGAGGGGACTCCTTCTCCCAAAGGCAAGGGGAAGAGATGTCAGCGCAGTCCAGATCCGGATTCCGGAGATGAGGTGACCATTATCTCTAATCCGGCTACTATTATAGGGGTGGAAGAAGCAAATGTGGAGTATGATGATCAGGCTTGGGTTGCTGCGGCCAACAGTATTGTGGCTGAGTTGGTCTGGACTAACGGACTTCTGGAGAGGAGCATTCAGGCGGCAGAAGGGAGTAGAGCTGCAGTGGACCGGATGAGTATTGGTATGGCTGGATTCCTGGACCAGCAGAGGGAGTTCCAGAACACCCTTATGGAGTACATCCAAGGCGGATCCTGGGATTCCAGATCCGGAGAGGAGAGTGCTCAGGAGGATGAGGGAGTGGGAGAGGTGGAAAAGGAGGCTGGAAATGAGGCCGGCGGATCCAGAGGTGACATGGAGACTGATGCCTGATTCCAGACTTCCGCTCTTGCCCTCTAAATGTACTCATATATCTGCATGTATCTCAAAGTAGTGAAATGGGACCGGGTTTGTCTGGGTATGCAGAGTGAAAGTCGGATACTAATTCTGAGGCATTTCTGAGCTCTGTGGCAAGTAGCCAAGATGTTTCCTCATCTGTTCCCTCATATCCGGACCACTGGACGAGGTATAGGAGCTGACAGTGTTGTCTCCGGCAGTCAAGTTTAGAGTCCAGAATTTCGGAAATTTCATACTCAGGCTCTCTGTCAACTTCCACTGGAGGTGGGGGTGCTTGGATGTGATTGGGGATGGTGTTGGGAGTTGCGGGTTCTAACTGGGAGACATGGAAGATGGGGTGGACGGATTTCATGGATTCCGGAAGACATAGGGTAAAGGAGTGGGATCTGGGATGGGATATGATCTCAAAGGGTCCTAAGTTCTTTTCTGAGAGTTTCTTTGAGGGTCTAGTGGACCGGAAATATTGTGCTTTGATGAAGACTAGGTTTCTGACCTTGAAGTCCAGAGTGGGTTTCCGCTTAGCATCTGCAGGGCCCTGATAGTGCTCCTGCGCATGGGACATTTCTTCTCGGAGGAATTGATGAAGCTCATTGAGATCTATAGCATAATCACAGGCATGGGCGGAAGAGAGGTCGCGTTCCAGATGGACGGAAATGTTCGGATGGTATCCCTTGTTGGCGAAGAAGGGTGAAACTCCGGTAGTAGCACTCAGAGCATTGTTGTATGTGAATTCTGCCAAGGGTAATAATTCCGACCAATTATCCTGCTGGTAGTTGCAGTAAATCCGGAGGTATTGTTCCAGGGTCTGGTTGGCTCTTTCTGTCTGTCCATCTCCTTCCGGATGATATCCAGATGTGAAGTGGAGAACCATATCCAGTGCTTTCCCTAGGGACCGGAAGAAGTGGGACATGAATTCTGTACCTCAATCGGAAGTGACATGGGATGGGATGCTGTGCTTAGAGAATACATGGAGTAGGAATAGGTGTGCAAGGTCTGGGGAGGTAATGGTGTCATGAGTTGGAACAAATATTGCTTGCTTGGATAGGCAATCTATGATGACAAGGATGGCTGTAAAGCCGGATGAGTCTGGAAGTTGTTCTATGAAATCCATGGAAATGGAGTTCCACGGCTTTTCTGGAATAGGGAGCTGTTTGAGCAATCCATAGGGTTTATGTCTCAGAACCTTGGCTCGGGCGCAGGTAGTACAGGATCTAACATAGTCCCTGACATAGGTGCGTATTCTGGGCCAGGTATATTCGCATCAGATGAGTTCTAACATCCAGTTTTGACCAAAATGTCCGGATAGGGGGTGGTCATGAGTATTCCAGAGTACGCGAAGTCATAGATCATTGGATTCCGGAACATATATATGATTGTCACAGCGGAGGAGACCATCAACATCCACCGTCCATCTTGGATCTGAGGGTTCTGGAAGATGTATGGAGGTGATAGTGTCATTAGGGAGTGTGGTCAGGATGTCAGTCTGGAGTCGTTCTATATCCATTAATACAGCTGCTCTGAGAACCGGAGTTGCTAAGGATGAGGCTCATAGGGACGAAGCTAGCTGTTCCATAGTGAATACTGGATGGAAATTGTGAGGGTTAACTTGAGTGTAGTCCTTATCCCCCTCTTTGGGATAGACATCCCAACGTCTAGTGAGGGAATCCAGTTTAGCTCCAAGTTTTCCGGGACGGAAGTGGATAATGAGGTTGAACTGATGCAGGAATTCTGACCATCGAGCCTGATGGCAGGAAAGGAGTTTTGTGGTTGTGAAGTACTCAAGGTTTTTGTGGTCTGTGACAACATCCACAGGCTTGGAAGAGCCTTCCAGGTAGTGTTGCCAGGTCTGGAAAGCTTCATAAATGGCTAGGAGTTCCTTGTCATGGGTGTCATAGTTGAGTTCTGGAGTGGAAAGCATATGGGAGTAGAATGCTACCAGACGAAGCTCTGAGTCTGGACATACAATGGAAAGTATTCCGGCGATAGCATAATCAGAGGCATCTGTTTCCACAACTATAGGAACGTCCAGCATCCAGTGCGTCAGCACCGGAGCGGAAGTGAAGGCTTTCTTGAGTGTTTCAAAGGATTTCCGGCAGTCCTTGGAAAAGTTCCAAGGGACATTCTTGCGAGTTAACTGGGTGAGTGGGACCACAATATCCAAGTAGTTGAAGATAAATTGACAATAGAAATTTGTGAATCCGAGGAAAGATTGGACATCTTTGACTTTCTGGGGTTCCGGCCAGTCAGTGATAGCTTGGATCTTCTTGGATGACATTGTAAGGCCATCCGGAGATAGGAGGTATCCAAGGTATTCCATGGATGAGGAATGGAATTCGCATTTTTCCAGTTTAGCATATAGGCGATGCTTCCGGAGTCGATGTAGTGCTTCTCAGACATGTTCCTTATGGGTTGCAAGATCTTGGGAATAAATGAGGATGTCGTCCAGATACACAACAACGCATACATCCAGCATATCTGCAAAAACGCTATTGACAAAGTGTTGGAAAGCTGCTGGGGCATTGGTAAGACCTTCCAGCATAACCAACCATTCATAGGAGCCATAGCGCGTCCGGAAAGCAGTTTTCCACTCATCTCCTTCTGCTATCCAGACAAGATGATAGGCGGACCAGAGGTCGATTTTGGTGTAAACTTTAGCGCAGCTCAGAGAGTCTAAGAGGTCAGAAATGAGAGGCAAGGGGTAACGGTCTTTCTTGGTGATCTGGTTGAGGCCTTGGAAATCCACACAAAGTTGTAGGGAACCATCCTTCTTCTTTACAAACAGGACAGGGGCTCCGTGTGGAGAGGATGAGGATTGGAGGAGTCCGGTTGCAATGTTCTCATCAAGGAACTTGTGGAGAGCTGCAAGCTCGACCAGAGAAAGGGAATAGATAGTTCTGATGGGCGGATTAGCTCCTTTCAAATCAATCTTCAGATCATATGGACAATGAGGAGGAAGTTGACTAGCTTTGCCCTTATCAAAGACATCCGCAAACTCCTGATATTCCAGAGGTATTCCAGAAAGGTTAGGGGCTTTGGATGAGAGTGAGGTGGACCGGAGATCCAGTCCAGAGGGGCGGAGATAGATGCTGAACTGCTTGGATCCTTCCATCTTGCAGGCCCAGCAAAAGGCAACTGCATTAATGAGGGAAATATGCAGACCAGATTTATCAGCAGAGGGTTCTGGTGTAGTTGGAGGAGGGATTCCCGCCAGAGGAAGAGGTTCCGGAGGCAGAAGTGACGTCGGAGGAGTCGATGGCATTCCATGAGGTGTCATCCAGAATTCAATGCTGCCCAAAGCCCAGTCAATCAATGGATTGTGTCAGGTGAGCCAGCTATATCCAAGAACGACAAAACAAGATGAATCCAAAGGGGTAACGTAAAATGTATCAGGGATAACTACACCAGACGAAAATCGGACAGGGAGGTCTATGGCTTCAGAAATATTGTTATTACAAGTACCATCAAATAAACAAAGCGGAAGCGGAGGGATTCTGTATGTAGGGATTTTATATTTTCGGACAAAATTTGTATCTATAAAACAATGAGAGGAACCACAATCTACAAGAGATGGAAATTCAGAAATACTGGGATACGTTGGAATTGTGATATATGGACAGAGTGAAGTTGGATTGGAAACAGAGACAGCGTTAAGACGTAACTCCTTTGTATGGGTTGAGATAATGTGACCCCCATCCCATATGGAGTCAGGAGGGTCACGGACTATTTTTTCGCCTCAGACAAGGCTTCTGGTTTGGCTTCTGGAGTGACTGTAGCAGTGTGGCCTTTGGCAGCGTGTGAAGTCAATTTGTTGCAGTCCCAGGCAGTGTGTCCGGGTCTGCCACAGAATAAGCAGAGCTTCTTATCTAAATGCCTCTGGCATTCCTCGGAAGTTAGTTTTCCATCCTTACCCAACTTGGAGGTAAGGTCTGGGGCCCTTGAAGCGGACGAGGTAGAGGACGTAGTGGGTTTTCTGGGTTTATGTCTGGAATTCTGATTTCTGGATTTGTTACTTCCGGATCCAGATGAGTGGGAGCTGGTCCGGTCAGAGGCTGACTGCTTAGGAGGAGTGGATGAGGAGGGTTTGGTTTCATGGGAGATCTCTCCCTTGTGTTCCCAATAACAGGCATCTATGGTTTGTGCAAGGGTCTTGTATTCTGGGAGGGTAGCAGGTTTTCCCATGCAGCTGATTTCGTCTTTGATATGAGCTGGAAGCCTGTTATAGAATTGCCGGTGTAGGGCTCCATCGCCCCATCTGCGGACTTGTGAGGCAAGCCACTGGAATTCCACAATGTACTTATTGATGCACTGTCTGTTGCGCATATTGAGTTGCTCGAGCTGCATTTCCGCGTCTCCGGAGGGGTCATGAGGTCCGAAATTGGTCTGGAGTTCAAGCATGAACTTGGAATAGTCATCCATCCAGTCCGGACAATCAGTATTCTTGTCGGAAAGGAGGTCTGGTTCAAACCATTCAAGGGCCATGCCTTTGAGATAAGATTGGGTGAAGTTGACCTTAGACCTTCCAGTATGGAAAGCATTGGGTTTGGTCTGGAAATTGAGTTCGCACTGGACAAAGAATGCTCGCAGTTTCTGGGGCTTGGTGCCATCAAAGACATCCAGCTCACAGACTTTGACCTTCGGGTCTTCGGAAAGGGTGGTGCGACGATTGTTTCAGGCGAGGTTGTTGATAGCTCTGGATAGGAGTACCATGATGCGGTCCTGCAGATTCAGGCCATTGTTTTCATCGTCATCATCATCATCATCTGGATCATTGTCCAGATTTCCACCATTCCCATCTGGCAGATTTCCGCCAGGGGTATCATCATCATTATCATCATTGTCATTGTCATCCAGATCTCCTTTGCCCAGAGGGGCTAAGGCTGGAGTCTGTGTAGGGGTTTCCAGATGTTGATGACTCAGGAGTTCTGAGATGCTTCCAGCAGTAGCATGCTGGCTAACACGATGCTGAGAGAAGCTATTGAAGGTTTCGATGATAGGGGTAGAATCCTGGCGGGCAGAAACTAGTCCGGCTGCTTGGAGAGGGTTTGTTGTTTTGGTAGGAGCCATGATAGATGTAAGTATACTCAGAAAGGTGTGAGTTTGAATATACTGTTAAGGTTGCATGCTCAAGGGGGTCGGATCACAAGGGCTTGGCCTCAGCTTATATGCTGTGCCCCTTTCCCGAGTATGTGCCCTTAATTTCCGGGGGCTAGAACAGTTGTCCGGAGTTTCCGGGATTTGACTAGGGTGGATAACGGACATCTGGATCTGAAATGTGAGATAAATCTGATGGACGTCTGGATATTACCTGGGCAAGTGGATAAGACTAATCCAGACGAAGTCCAGACTAGAAACTAACAGAGGATGGACTACCCTTAAGGTAGAGTTGGAAATATAGTCTAGGATGCAATCCTAAGACTCAGAATATGACAAGAGACTTATCTCAAGTCTGGAGGACACAGGAATGAGCAGGAACTAAGATGATATTCAGACTGGAGTATTTCCGAGAGTTACAGGAGGTTTATATACTGTAGGTAACATATAGGAATCAGTCAGCAAACATAAAGGCTATGTACGAAGCATATGCAGAGTCTATTAGTAAGTAGGATGGATCACAAATAATGAACACCAGAAATGAAATGTATGTAACAGATCAATAATCAAAAGGAAAACATGGTTAACTGGAGTCCAGAGACAGGGGCAGTCTAAATGGAGTTGGGCGCTGATATAGGGTTTGGATTCCAGAAGGGAGATAAAGATAGATCAGATCATTTGAGATCCAGATATCCAGAGAAGTGGATTTAGAGTTGAGAGTCCAGAATAGCATATGACAGTTAGGTATGTTCTCATTTCACTCTGTTTATTGTGGAGTTACTAAGTCTGGCCCACTTAGGTTGTAGGTGAGGCACCATCTGCATCTTGGAGGTTTCTGATCCCATGTCTGACTTGCAAGTAAGCTTCCTCATTTCATTGCCAGTCAAGTTGTTGATTGAACCATTCTTTCACAGATTGCATTGAAATGTCTACTTGAGGCAGAGGCATACCACAACAGGTTCTAACAAACTCATTATTGAAACTGCCAGCAAGAACTTGATAGTTTCAATATGAAGGTGAGTTTCCATCTCTCCAGTCAAGTCAATTCAACCATTCTTTGACAGGTTGCATCGAAATGCCTACTCAAGGCAGAGGTGTACCACAACAGGTTCTAACAAACTCATTATTGGTTGCCATGGGTAAGCTGCTCTTTCTTTCTTTCTTTCCTTCCTCCATTGAAATGGCTGGCTTCCAGCTTGACAGGCTGAGATGGCCACCAGAGAGTATCTGCACCAGCCAATGGATATCACTGGTGCAGAGTCCTGTCATACTCTTCTGACCACTGGTACAAGTGCACCCTCTGTTCCCTACATTGACAAGGTGCACTTCTTTATCACTATCTCTCCTGCCACAAGCTAACAGGTAACAGTTGCAGGATGCCATCATCCAAAATGTGAGTGCAAAAATTGTCAGCCTTGTTCAAGGTGCCCTCCATGAGCCCAGTGCCACTCATACAATACAAAGGTAAGTTTCCATTTCTCCAGAAGCATTCATTGACAGAAAACAGACCAAGCAGACTCCTCCAGGTGTCGCTGAAGAAGGTCCCCACCAAACCAATTGATTTTAAGTATGTATTTCTATTCCAGTGAGATTTTCTGCTTATTGTCAAATTATGGTGATTTGCAAGTGTTCATTGATGGAAAACAGTCCAAGCAGACTGCTCAAGTCTTGACTGCTATTAATGCACTCCAGTTGATCATCCACCAGGGACCCATCCCATTTCATCATACACTGCACTCATGCCATCTAAGGCAAATATAGGTAAACACATGCATGTTTAGGAGCAGGGCACACATTAATTTGTTCTCTACCATCGCTGCACACATCTGTCTTACTAGCAGCTCAGATAATCTACACCCATTGACTATAACTACAAACAGGAGGCCTGCTTGTCAGCAGGGCATCAACAACCTTTGGGAGGTATGTGCACCATTGGCCACTTGCAGATTTCAAGCTCATTTGTTTTACAGTTACTAGAGCCTGCTGCAAAAACAGTGCCCATTACCTCACTTGTCCTCCAGGACCGCTATGTGGGACCTGCTCCTCACTTGCCCTATGTTGTAGGAGTTGATGCAAGGTCAGTCTCTGCACATTCGCATCACTCATGTTTGATACTAACTCTTTTCGCCACCATGCAGTGGGTGGTTTGAACAGTGCCAGTGTTAAGAACCATGCTCAAAGGAGAGAGAGACTGACTCAGAGGGGCTTGGCCTCAGCTCATACACTGTGCCCCTTACCCGAGTATGTGCCCTTCATTTCAGAGGAAGTCCGATGATGGTCCAATGAAGTCTGGAGGACTTCTGGAGGCTGGCTACTCTGGTGGAGAGTGCAGGAGGACTTCCAGAGGAGCGCAGGAGAGTTCCGGAGGAATGCAGGAAGTGCTCAGGAGAGTTCCCACTGCAAGGTAATACTTCTACAGGAAAACAGGATGGAAGGATAGGAGGTCCGGAGGACAGGAGGACAAGATGTCCAGAGGTCTGGAGTATGGAGGACAGGAGGTCCAGAGGTATGGAGGACAGAATGTCCAAAGGTATGGAGGGTGGAATGTCTGAAGGACAGGATGCCTGGAGGTATGAGGGACAGGATGTCTGGAGGTACAGAAGACAGGAGGTCCGGAGGTCTGGAAGGAATAGGGGCTACATCAGACAAAGTCCAATGCAGAAGCAAACAGAGGTAGACTACCCTAAGGTAGAGTCAGAGGGACAGGAAGTGGACCTAAGTCTGGAAAGAGGGTAAGTGCCAGAAAGGCAAGACTCCAGCCTAGGGAAGCAATCCCTAGACTTGGGACAGAGACATAGGGGACAAATCCGAAGGTCCGGAATTCCAGCCTAGGGAGTCCATCCCTAGGCCTTACGGAAAAGGACAAACTCAGATGGACTGAAGTCCGGAAGAAGATTGGGCAAGTCTAAGGTGATGAACAGGAACTAAGATGATATTCAGACTGAGGACTCTACTGTAGTTGTACAGGGGTTATATACTAGAGGCTATCTGAGAGGATCAGTAATCAAAGGAGTAAGGCTATGTACGAGCATGTGGAAACACATTGGTAAGACAGAACATAAGTAAATGAACTCGGAGATGAAACTAGTACAAGGATCAATCAGCAAGACAGAAACAGAGATAACCGAGAACCGGAAAGGGAGAGATGCCTAAATGGGGATAGGCACAGGATCTTGGACGGAGGGTGGGAATAGGTCCGGAGATCTGGGGATCCGGAAGGCAGGGCAGAAACAGGACTGAGATATGTGAGGTGGTGGATATAGTCTGGAATCTGAGAAGAGGTAAAGTCCAGATGTCTTGCTGGACGGAATGTGCATAGGGTGGACAGGATAGGGGATCCAGGAATGAGTTGGATATGGGGTCCGGAAATAGGTCCGGAAAGCGTGGGAATATGATGGGATCTATGTCTAGCATATGGAATATGACAGCCAGCAAGGTTGGTGGTACCATGTGCATGCTCAGACTAGGCAGAACCCTGCACTTTGGACATTCCTATTTTGCCTCGCTCAACTCACTTGGTACCCAGTACAACTGTCATATCTGCATATCTGGATCTCAGATCTGATCCTTATCTCATCTCAGATCTGATCCACATCTTATCTCCAATCCTATCCACATCTTATCTCCCTCCAACATCTCATCATCCAATCTGTCCACTTGTCTGATCCAATCCACAATTCATCTGAATCCACAACCAGTGCTTGTCTCCTTTTGGTAATCCCCTAACTCCAGTATTTCAGTTATCTGTATATCCATCCTGCTTCCTGATCTGTTACCTATGCTTCATTTCTGTTTCATTATTTGTGATCTGTTTCTACTTACCAATAGACCATCCATATGCTTCATACATAGCCTCGTACTCTGCTGATTGATCATTCCATTAGATACCTATAGTATATAACCTCCTGTAACTCTCGGTAGTACCTCAGTTCGAATATCATCTTAGTTCTACTCATTCCTGTCCTCTGGACTTGAGTATCTCTACTCTCATCACCCTCTGAGACTTAGGATTGATTCCTATAGTCTATCTGTATCTGCCTCTGTCTCTGACAGTCCATTACTGTTAGTTTCTAGTCTGGACTTGTCCGGATTAGCCTTACAATACTTATCCTACATCCAGAAGTCATCCAGATCTGCTACGCTACTCATCCAACCTTCCAGACACATTAGTCTTGCCTTCCTGAAATAAGGGGTAATACTCGGGTAAGGGGCACAGCACACGAGCTGAGGCTGAAGCCCTTTGGATCCAGTTATCCCTTGAGTATGACCTTAACAACAACTGGTTTTCTGCTATGATGGTAACCAGCAGCCTGATGTCAAGCGAGGACATAAGGTGTCTTCTAGAGAACACTGGATGGTTAAGCTGACAAAACACATCCTGGACGTTTTCAATACACAGTGGATTATGGTGTGTTTTCTTTACCTCTTTTCATTTGTATCATTTAACCTTAGTACATAGGCCACAGGAGAAGCTGAGGCTCAACTTGTGTTAAGGTCATACTCAAGGGCTAACGGATCCTAAGGGCTTTGGCCTCAGCTCATGCGCTGTGCCCCTTACCTGAGTATTGCCCCTTATTTCAGAAGGGCAAGACTAGCGCATCCGGAGGGTTGGACAAGTAGTGTAGCAGATCCAGATAACTTCTGGATGTAGGATAAGTATTGTAAGGCTAATCCGGACAAGTCCAGACTAGAAACTAACAGTAATGGACTGTCAGAGACAGAGGCAGATACAGATAGACTATAGGAATCAATCCTAAGTCTCAGAGGGTGATGAGAGTAGAGATACTCAAGTCCAGAGGACAGGAATGAGTAGAACTAAGATGATATTCGAACTGAGGTACTACTGAGAGTTACAGGAGGTTATATACTATAGGTATCTAATGGAATGATCAATCAGCAGAGTACGAGGCTATGTATGAAGCATATGGATGGTCTATTGGTAAGTAGAAACAGATCACAAATAATGAAACAGAAATGAAGCATAGGTAACAGATCAGGAAGCAGGATGGATATACAGATAACTGAAATACTGGAGTTAGGGGATTACCAAAAGGAGACAAGCACTGGTTGTGGATTCAGATGAATTGTGGATTGGATCAGACAAGTGGACAGATTGGATGATGAGATGTTGGAGGGGGATAAGATGTGGATAGGATCGGATCTGAGATCCAGATATGCGGATATGATAGTATCCCCCCTTTAGGGCCGATCCCTAGAGGCACAAGATCTGATGATATGAGGGCAAGAATCAATGGAGAAGCTGATGAATGGAGTTTGTGAGTTCAGGTTTCCACAGATATATGGATGCCAAAGTGTCCTAGGTCTTCCTTCCTTTCCCTACTTCACCCACTTATACTAGCTTTGAAATATCATGTCTGGCAACAAATCCAGCGGTCAGAAATCCGCTAGGGAGACTCTTGCGGAACTTCAGCACCAGATGGCACTCACAGAGGCTGCAGCTCAGAGAGAGGAAGAGGAAGAGGAGCAGAAGTGTCAGGAAGCAGAATGGAAATGTGAGGAGGAGAAGAAGCAGATAGAGCAGTCTGAGCTCTGGGTAGCACAGGAAGAGAAGAGGCAGAGGGCTGAGGTGGCCAGGAGGGTGAGTGATGATACCTCTATCAGATCCAGAACTAAGGAATATGCTAGTCCCAGTCTGCTTCTATGTCCGGAGCTCAGGATGCACCCTGCACTCATTGTGTCAATAAGGGCAGGGTGTGCTCCTGGGAGGATGCCAAGTCTAATGCACTGGTGAGATATTCCTTGTCTCAGACATCCAGAACTGGGTGTACTGATGTCTGGATAGGTCAAGTCTTGCGATGTCTGCAGGATCAATAGGGCCTCCTGTCCTGGAAGTGCAGACAAGCCCAGGGAATCAAAGCAGAAGAGGCAGCATGCTGTGGGGACTCCATCTCTGAAATCCAAGGGTAAGAGACATCAGAAGAGCCCTACCCCTGAGGAGCTGGAAGTGGAGGATGTCTCCAATCCATGGACCATTGTGAAGAAGAAAATGGTACTAGGTGGTTAGCAACTAGCACTACTTATCCTAAGAGGCATGAGTTTAATTGATCAGCCTGAGAGGACTGCTATTGAAGCACTTCCTTTGATTATGTGTGAGGGAAGTAAGTGAGTGAAGGAGTTATAACCTATATCAGCCTAAGAAACTTGAATGCGGGCTGTATATATACCTCTGAATTCCTATACCAAAGAATTGACTGTGAGTGCAGGCAAAAATCGACTGATGTTAATATCACAGGAGCGAGATGAACTGTTAGAAGATATGTGCGAATGTAATTGGATGTCAGATGCTGGTGCAGCAGATGTAATGTGCACAAAATCAACTGCACTTTATGGAGCGGCCGGTCGCAAGGGATATAGTGCGAGTGAAGAACAGCGCTAAACTACCGGTCATGGGTTGGGTATTCTTACAAGAGCTTTAAGGGCAAGATCCTAGCAGTACAGACTTCAGAGCAGTTGAATTACGCAGGATTGTCAAGAAGGAGCAAAATAGATGGATAGCACAAGGTCTACAAAAATAATGCAAGAAAAACTCTCCTATAGAGCTGATTCTGGGGGAAAGGGAACTACTCAATCGTATGTACTTTGGTCATTTATATTGTAGCACATGAATGTCTGGAATGCATAGGCGAGAATTGTAGCATAGTTAGTGAGTGCATGATGAGTCTATAGGTAATAAAACATCATGCGCTGCAGAATGTGAGTAGTCATGTAATAAGACCTGCAGCTCATTTAGCAATGACATTTGGGAAAAATAATGCACCAGCGGAGATAGGTGGACATGGATAGGACATGGAAGGGCGGATTCCTAGGACCAGACCAGAGTAAGAGCAGATGGGTCGATATATATGGATTTAACGATCTGTACTTTATCTCCTTTTCTAAAGGTGAGAAGAACCATGCTATTGATCATATGTGCCTAGCACCAGTATGATTGTCACACCATGATCGAAACAGATGAGGGGAGTGTGGAGTATGATGACCAGGCCTGGGTTGCTGCTGCCAACAGCATAGTAGTGGAACTGGCCTGGACCAATGGACTTCTCCAGGAGAGTATTGGAGCTGTGGAAGGGAGTAGGTTGGTGATGGAGCAGATGAATACTAACATGGAGGACTTCATCCAGCAGCAGAGGGACTTCCAGTCCATCCTCCTGGAGGGGATCCAGAACAGATTCTGGATTGTGGACACCTCTACTCCAGATGATGCTGACAAGGATGTTGAGGAGGAGGCTGGAGGATCCAGAGGGGACATGGAGACTGATGAATGAGGAGCTCCAGATTTCTGCTTCTGCCCCTAATGTACTTGTATCTGATTTTGTACTCATTGTAATGCAATTGGACTGGGTTTGTCTGGATATGAAGAGTGAAATACTGAAACTAGGTCCAATGCATTTCCAAGTTCCATGGCTAGTAACCAGGATGTCTCTTCATCTGTCCCTTCATATCCAGACCACCGGACAAGGTAGAGAAGCTGACATTGTCATCTCTGGTGGTCCAACTTAGAGTCTAGGGTTTCAGATATCTCATATTCTGGTTCTCTGTCGACTTCTATTAGAGGTGGGGGTGGTTGGATATGATTAGGGATGGTGTTCGGAACTGCAGGTTCCAGTTGGGAGACATGGAAGACCAGATGTACTGAGCACATGGAATCTGGGAGTCAGATGGTGAAGGAATGCGATCCGGGATGGGATATAATGTCAAAAGGACCTAAGTTCTTTTCTGAGAGCTTCTTGGAGGGACAAGTGGAACGGAAGTACTTTACTTTGATGAAGACTTGATCTCCAACCTTGAAGTCTGGGGCTGGTATCTGCCTTGCATCCACAGGTCCTTGATAACATTCTTGTGTGTGGGTCATTTCTTCTCAGAGGAATTGGTGAAGCTCATTGAGGTCTATGGCATATTCCTGTGCACAGATGGAGGAAAGGTCACATTCCAGGTAGATGGATATGTTCGGATGGTACCCCTTGTTGGTGAAGAAGGGTGAGACTCCAGTGGTAGCACTCAGAGCATTGTTGTATGCAAATTCAGCCAAGGGGAGTAGTTCTGACCAGTTATCCTGCTGATAGTTACAGTAGATCCAGAGGTATTGTTCTAGGGTTTGGTTGGCACACTCAGTTTGTCCATCTCCTTCCGGATGATATCCAGATGTGAAGTGGAGGATCATATCTAATGCTTTTCCTAAGGACTGGAAGAAGTGGGATACGAACTCTGTTCCCTGGTCTGAGGTTACATGGGATGGAACACTGTGCTTGGAGAACACATGGAGTAGGAACAAGTGAGCAAGGTCTGGAGAGGTGATAGTATCGTGGGTCAGAACGAATATTGCTTGCTTGGATAGATAATCTATGATGATGAGGATGGCTGTGAAGCTGGAGGAGTCTGGAAGTTGCTCAATGAAATCCATGGAGATGGAGTTCCAAGGCTTGTCTGGAACAGGGAGTTGTTTGAGCAATCTGTAAGGCTTATGTCTTGGAACCTTGGCTTGGGCACAGGTGGTGCATGATTTAACATAGTCTTTGACATAGGTGTGTATTCTGGGCCAGGTATATTCACATCGGATGAGTTCTAACATCCGATTCTGGCCAAAGTGTCCAGACAGAGGATGGTCATGTGTGTTCTGGAGGATACAAAGTCAGAGGTCATTGGAATCAGGGACATATATATGATTGTCGCAATGGAGGAAACCACTATCATCCGTTGTGGGAAACACAACAAGAAGAGAACTGGAAAGTAGACTTCTAATGTTGGGCTAAATGTGCTATGCCTAGCTGCTATTCAACCCTAAAGGGTTTCTGGACTAAGCTCAGTGCTCAGAGAGAGTAGGAAATCATGCTAAAAGCTGCTCAGTCTCAGACTGGTACTGGTAAGTGGTGAAAACTATAATGATTACATAAGCACCAAAAGTGCGAACATAACACTAAGTAATATCTGCCTATACAAGCCCACAGAATATGAAATCCCTACACTGCCCCAGCAGTCTAAATTTCTAGAAGTTCCTAAGCCTCCTATAGGCTTTCACCTGCTAGGTTGATATGCTTGGACAGTCCAGTTTTGAAGGAGGTGGTTATGATAGTGTAGTTTAAATAATATTTCCTGAAAGTGTTCAAATGTTCCTCAAAGCAAACACATGAAAAACATGACTCATGGATGTTATAGCATGGGCGCTGTTAGTGACCTCACTGGCTTGGACCTAGTAGAGCAGTTAAATGGTCAGCTACAAATCATCCAAAGTTTTCATAGTGTCACCTCAACTAAGATCAAAGGATTGCTGACCATAGTGCCATCACCAGCATTGGACTCATGCCAATGCATGTTTCTGAGACCATAAAGCTTACCAAAGGCATAGGTCATCAATGCTCGCATCTTCTGAGCATGTCCATATGTCCCCTGGTCTTTGGTGGATGACTTTGAGCTGCTGTCAAGATTGATAGAGTCACAACTTTCATGGCATGTTAGCATCCTATCATGTGAATGGTACCTGGCACTCACACATTCATAATCCAGGCCACAATGACCCATGGAGCATTTGGTTGTGGTCTCTTGTTGAAGAAGTCCTTGTCTGGCCCCAAAAGCCTTGTCCTGATAGCAAATGAGAGACACAAATTCATCAACCTGCTGTGTGCTGCATGAGTAAATATTAGCCTGTCAAAACTGCACAGTAGTAGGTGATGCAACAGGACCATTCACCTCTTGTATTCAGCATCCATGCCCTCTGTGATCCCCTTAGAAGCCTCCATGAGAGTCACCTGCAGTTTAGTGAACTCAGAAGCATCCATTGATCTATTCATTGTCATTGTCAGGGCACTTTGTTCAGGGTCAATCAGGGTTTCTTGTTCTGCTGTAACATCTTCTTCAATATTGGCATTCATTTTGAGGTCAGTGGTAAGTGGAAGCACACTCTGCAAACCAGCAAAGTGCTGCATGGGGTCAATCACTGTAGAGGTCATGGGTGCTGGTCAATAGAGAGTTTGCAGCTGCATGTGTCAGCAAAAATTCAGTGCCCATACTTGTATTATTGGCTGCCATATCCTAAACTTCATATGCACAAGATAAACTATCCATGGCACTTCATGTTAGACCTTTGCCAGTCAACTCAATGTACCTTTTTGTAATAGCAGATGCCTTTGTCATGACATACTCTTGTCCTCCCCTCTGGTAGGTAAAATGAGTGTCAAAGGTGGCACCAAACTCTCTGTGTGCCTGTTCTGCAAGTTGAGAGTCAACTGACATGTGTATATCGCACAACTTCTGAATGATTATGGTATACTTCATGTGCTCTCCTTTGGCACTGAAGGTAGCCCAGAACTGCTTAGGGCTGCCTTGATGGTAATGCTCAACAACAACCTAGGTACCAAGAGAACAGAAAGGTCAGTCGAATATAGTCAAGCATCCCAAGGCTGTACTCACCTACTAATCATTCCACTTATTCTTCATGCCCTGCCACTGCTGCTGTTTGCCATAGCAATAGAGTAATGGCCAGTATTCGACTGTGATTGGGTGACCACAGATGACAATGACAGACAGACCTTTCCAGTGTTCAGTATGGTCATCCCACATATCATTGAGGTGCAGGATATCATGTGCAAAACTGATGGCAGGGGGATCAGGAATCTCACTTGTATCCACTTGCAAGATGGTGCCATCTCCAAGCTGGAGTAGCCATGGCTTCCCTGTTGGGGATGCAATGATCTTGACACTGGAGTGAGTGATGCCCTCAGTGTTTGGTATAGGTAGGGACTGAGCAGCACTGGGCTCATGGAGGGCACCTTGAACAAGGCTGATAATTTTCACACTCATGTTTTGGATGATGGCATCCTAAAACTATTACCTGTTAGCTTGTGGCAGGAGAGATAGTGATAAAGAAGGATACCTCATCAATGTAGGGAACAGAGGGTGCACTTGTACTGGTAGTCAGAAGAGTATGACAGGACTCCGCACCAGCAATATCCATTGGCTGGTATTGATACTCTCTAGTGATCATCTCAGCCTGTCAAGCCGGAAGTCAGCCATTTCAATGAAGGAGGAAGGAAAGAAGGAAAGAAAGAAAGGGAGGCTTACCCATGGCAACAGCACTGCAACTTCAGCTGAGGTATGTGTCCTTGGATTGGTCAGTGATAGCAGTGGTAGCAGTGGTGCTGACCAGCTGTGCACGGCATTGTGTAGACTGCTTGGTGTGGCCTGGCCTGGCCATGTCTGTGGGCCTACTCATTCAAGGTCCCTTGTGGGACTTGTGGGCACCTAGATGGAGCCTTGAGCAAGAAGTCAGCTCCCAGTCACTGCCACCCTAGCAAAGAGACCTACATACCTGTCCCATGAATCAGGTTCATGACTGAATTCCTCCAGCTGTTTGATCAGCATGGTCTTGCTGCCCATCTGGCAGAGGTCAAACTCAGTACAGTGCTGCCTTAGCACTTTCACAGTCATATTGTAGCTACAATACTAATATCAGCATTGTCCATCTGAAGGGAAGTGAGCAAAACTTACATCAAGAGATGTTGAACTGAAGGTTCTCCTTCCTACCTGAATCGCCATGGGAAGGGAAGCAATTGCTCCAGAGTGGTAGTGCTGGTCATTTGGTCATGTGCACCAACATCAGCACTCCAGAATACCTCATTGCCATCAGTACTAGTAGAAGCACTGACCACATCCATTTTCAAGAAGCTCAGGATGTTGTTGTTGATGCTGCTGTCATCGTTATCATTGATGCAGGACAGGGCAGGTGGGCAGCAGAGAAATTTCCTCCACAATGGATACATGCCTATGAGGATGATGAATGCTGAGACACCCAGTATGACAGCAAAAGAGCCAGCCTCATTGAGTCTGTCTGGTGGTGGTAGAGCATCAGGAGTAGTGGTTGGGTCTGCTGCAGCCAAGCTGGAAGCATTTGAGAGCCAAGTGATGAGTGAACCAAAAGGGCTGGCCTGCAGTGAGTGCTGGGGAGGTGCACCAATGATAGCAGAGGCAAGCACACATGCCACATGCTTGGCATTAGGTAGTAGGATCTGGGGGACATGCAAGTCAGCAATATCCAAATGCTACAAGTACCAGGTATAGTATCAAGTAAGTGACAGGAGAAGGACTGCCCTCACTTAGGTCAGCATGCCTGGGATGGCATTTGCTGAAGTGTCACGCCCCCAAAGCGGACAGCATTGTTTTTGTGAGAAGTGAAACTTGATGCTATGTACCAAAGGAATAACTTTTGTGTTAAGTGTTCATGGGCAAAATGTGATGGATTGATGTTATAAACAAGAGTATCATATGTAAGTCTCACCATATTCTTCAACACCAAATGGCATGTCAAGTACAGCCTGACCCTTCCAAAAAAAGGTGCTCTAAAGCCAAGAATGAGCAACTTTGATGTGCTCACATGAAAACACAATGACACTCAAGAATTCATAAATGCCATGTTTACTGATGAAGATCATGCTCACTTATGACATTGAGCATGGAAAATTGGTATGAGTGGAGTTGAGAGGCAGCAGCGGGAGGCATTGATTTAGCATAAGCTTGATTCTGCTGCTGCTGCCAAGAAGAAGGCTACAGAGAAGCAGGCATCTAATTCTGCCAAGGAAACTTATTTCACAGGTGTTGCGCTGGTGCTCAATCAAAACCAACTTGTATGCTTACTTGATCCAGCTCTCAAGGATCAGATTAAGGTTTATTGCCATCTAGGAGCAGAGAAGCATATTCCACTCAAATCACACCTCAAGAGCAAGTCACAGTGCCTTGAGTTGCTCAAGAAGCTTTCGGCTTGTCACTCAGCACATTTACAAGGTGAATTGGTGACTCATGACAATAATCTTGACGGCACAAATGATGACACTTAGGTGGATACTAATATGCTCCCTTGCAAATATTGCATATACTGTATAGACACACACTTAGGTTTGGCCCTATTTAGGTGTGACCAAATGAGCATTAGGTTCGAAGGTTCACAGGGGGGGTGTGATGTGTAACATGCTGTGATTAGGTTCATTTGGTAAGCAACCAACATTAGGCAGACAATATCCTTCATATACATGTGCAGTGCTATGTGCTGATCCTTATGCTCAACCTGGAAGTGCTCACTCTACAAACATTGTCTCTAATTTTATTTCTGCCTGGCAACACAATATCTTCTCTATATACAACAAGTCAGAGAGCTATGAGCAAGTGGTGGATGGCATGGAGCTTCAATCCATGGTGAATGGGTCTGAGGAGGTTGAGGCTGAGGGCTGTGGTAAGTGCAGACGTGTCGCAAACACTCAGTACAAGGACTTTTGGCTGCACTAGTTATTTTTTTTATGTTTTTACTGCATGTCACAATTTAGGTTCGATGGTCTCAAAATTGGTGTGACCGTCACACAAATTAGGTTCGATTCGCCAGGCATGTGACGCTGTGACGAACCTAAGTGTGCATCTATACAGTAACCTATATTTACTTGATCACATAATTCAGTGCTGCACATAGGATACTTTAGCATAATCTACACTAGTTTCCACCACAATATAATGCACAATAACTGCTTTGCCGTTGAGTACGCACTCGGTTTCAAGAAAATGGACCATTTAGGGGTTTTTGGCTTATATAAGCGTCACGCCTTGTTGGCGGGCGTTGCCCACCACCATACACAATGATGTAAACATGTTGGGAGGTCGCTGATAAGAGAGCGAGTGCGGCCCTGCCCCAATGATATAGTGACTTTGGCACGTCCTGCAGCACTTTGGACTTTGGAAACGATCGCTGTTGGGACAGGCTGTTAATCAGCAAGCTAGTGGCATGCAGTGAGCTGACCTCCAATGGTATGGGCCGCAGTATGATAGTTCCCGTATTGTAAGTGTTCTATTCTGGTTTATTATCCATTTGGGTTTGCTCTCGCGCGCACAGACATTGATTACGGACATACAATATATCGATACACGATGAAATGGCGGTCTCGACTATCCACAACCCAAGTAAAATCAATACTCGTCGATATCCTCGACATTGAGAGTAGGTCTCTCTTTCTCCTTTCGCGCACGAACCTTCTTCTCTGCAACAATACCCTTATAGGCCATTTGAAACTCGGATTGCATACCTTGCATGTTGCCGGGAACCCCATGCATGAATTCCTTGACTTCTAGAACTCCACATTTGAGTGCCTCAATGTCACGGGCACGATGAGCTGGTGAGGAAGGTTCCAGCTGCTTGCGCAATTTCGATCCTTTCTTGAGGAGCGTTCTGCAAACGGACGGTGTTAGTCATTGTATGTTGCTGAGTAAGTGAGGACGGACGCTATCTCGCTTCTCTGCTTGCCCAGCTCCTCAAGTTTTTCATGAGATTCCTTGTTGAGAAGGCCTTTCGTCTTCGCTTTGGCAGCACGAGTCAGAGCAATGCCTCGTTCCAGGCACACCAGAAGGTGAGGCAATGGTCCAAGGAAAAGTAAGTTGTAATGACCTGGACGCCATTCAGAGGACTGCGTCTCACGCCATTCAGATGACTGTGTCTCCTTCAGGCATGTCATGAATATCGCATCGATTTCAGCATTCACTGCACGACTTGAGCGACGTTTAACGTAACGGCGGTACGCGTTCTGAATCTTGCGAGCTGCCTCTTTTTCCTCTACTGATGGTCCGTTAGAGCGTAGCGACTCATCAAGATCAGGTGCAAGCGACGTCACCGCCTCATCCAAAGTCTCCAACGTATCACGGGTCTCAGCACCAGTATTCGCCGTGACATCTTCCTCATTTTCATCTGCTCCTTCGAACTCTTGAGGCTGGGGTTCCGTTATCTCTTTCTCATCGTGCTGCATAACCTCTGGTCGGTCCTTGGAATGTTCTAAGTGAGGTACAAAGGCCGGGGCCTCCACTCTCAGAGTAGACTGCGCGATCACTGCGTACGACGAAAGGAGATGGGGGATCTCGATGATCTTCTCGTATACGAGCCGTCGGACTATATGGACTCGGGTATGCTGGTTCATCGTTTTGTGGACAAGGTGCACCAGATCGCTCACTCCTTTGTTGTTGTCGAAAGCCAGGAGAGCTCGCAGGTAACCGTCTGAAGGTGGCATCCGTCCTGGCAAGGGTGTCATGTACTTGACCACGTCGTCTACGAGTTTCCGATAGTTAGCTGTACGCCAACTCGAAGGAGGGTTGTTCTTGTGCAGAGACAGCATGATCTTGTCAACTTTGTCTCTCATGGGGCGATTTCTGATATTATGAGCAACTAACGAAATGAATTCAGCAGCCAATTAGGTTTTAACCGGAAAAAAACGTACGAAGGCAGAGAACTCTGCAGCTGCATCACGTGTGATTAGTTTGCGCATCGTCAATGAGCAAATACTAAGCTGGACTTACATCCGGGAAATGAAAATATTACGGAGAATAGGCGTAAGTTTCGTATGGTTCAGCCAGAGGAATTCTGCTTAATCATAGTCTCGGAAGGTCTGCAAAAAGTGGAGAAACTCACCCATGCCGGCCTCCGTGCGCAATGCTTCGACCAACCTCGCCATCGCATTCAGGAGGCCATCCATCAAAACCAGCCTAGTTTCTTTCTCCGCATTAAATTTGTGGGGAGACAACAGCCAACTGCATGGAAGGAGGGCGTTGTGGAGGGGGAAATCATTAAATGCTGGGTCCATTCGGTACTTGATTATAAAAGCGCTGCAGACGTCTTCGATGCAGTCACACAGGACAGAGAGATTGGTGTACAAACGGTTGTCGAGGACATGTCTAAATTACACTTATCAGATTATAGAAAGAGACAACTTGAGGAAACTTACAGAAGAAACAGAATTCCCGACGAGACGCTGCTACAGATAGCTCCTCGGTAAGAGTTGAGCAGGTCTGTAAGCATATAGCGATTGTCTCCTCTGCGAATGAGCTCGGCCGGCCTGGAGACGATACATTTTGCTCGAGAGATGTAGGTAGATGCGTCGTTTCTGTCAAAAGCAAAACTTAGACTTGTGATCCTCATCACAGCCGTCAAAAACTGAGAGTTAACCCAGAAAGGATCGAGTGAATAGAAGGATTCGCGGATCCAGAGCTTCACCACTTTCATGCCATCCAGACGAAAAGGCATTAGACTCATGTCAAGGTCCGCGGGAGAACCTTGAATGAAGAAGGGTGGATTGAGTGCCTCGTAAAGGTGATTGAGCCAGTCCCTCATGCTAATCAATAAGTCAGTATAAAAATTCGATCAGGAGCTACCACCAGGCGCACCTATCGCGTCGTTCAATATATGGATGAGCGGAGTACATGAATTGCAGGATGAGAATCTGCCAGATGTGGATGGCAACACGAGAATTGTAATACAGGCGATCCAATTTCGATATTGTGACATGCTCCTGGGGACAATTATCTCTTCGACATATTCCGGAGACTAAGAATGGCAGGCACTGCGAGAAAACCGGGGATTTGCAACACATAACATCAATCTCCGACACTTTGTCTTTCAAGACAGTACGGATGAATATTTGTAGTAGTTCCGTGACGTTTCTGCGCGAGGATGTATACCCGGACGAATGTTCCGACACCAAAGTGATGCCTTGGCGGATTTCCATCACACAGCCGTGGAGGAACGTTCCATCAGGTATGAGAAACTCGTCACCGGACAGCCGCACGATGGAGAACAGTCTCTGAATACCCCTATGCTCCATGGGGTCAGGGAAGGTCAAAATCAGATAAAGCAGTCGCGCATAGGCGTGGAATTGTTGAAGGAACCGTTGCATTTCATCGACCGCGAAAGTTCGAATGTCTGTGGTTCGAGAGAATACATGGTCCAGACAAAGGAGAGCTGCTGGCTTATTATGTTCATGGAAAGCAAGCGCAAGATTTCTCAACGGCTCATGATTGCCGCGCAAGATGTTCCGAAACATCGATATCTGGATGCTGATCAGTCCAGCTGGTCACTTTCAGATTGCCAATACATACTAGATCACGCGTCTCCGGCGTTAGCTTGTTCGTCTCTAGTTGATCAGCGAGATCAATGAAATGCCGCATCGGCTCATCAGCGAGGGCGGTTTTTGCAGTGATTCTGAAAGAGCACTTGCGCCAGAAGTATTCCAATATAGTGTCGGCCGCACGAATAGTAGAATCGACGTTGCTGTTGTCCTTGATGAATGCTCGGACAGCTTCCAAGGGCCTATTCTCTGACAAGTGGAGCTCTGCGGCCTCATAGTATCTTGAGTGAGATTCGAGCAATGAGGCACGAGCGTAATCGAGATCATAGTCTTCCAGAAACTCGAGTTCCTCATCAAATGTCGAGAAGAGACGCAAGGGAGCCCTGCGCAATTGCTATTGAGTAAAATCACTGCGGAGAGTCTAAGTCTAAGACCTACTGAGTGTTGTTCCTGCTGCAGTAAAACAGTCTGCACACTGTCCATAACTCCGCCGTGGTCTCTTCAGAGATATTCGTGCCATGGTCATCAAGCACATGGAGAGTCTTGTCAAATCGACCAGCCTTGCGATATTTCTTCGCTGCTTGCTCGAACTCTTGAGCATTGAGATAGGCCTCAGCAGCTTTAAGATCATCCCCTGCTCGAACGTAGCAATCTGCTGAGTTACGATAATATTGGAGCTTCTGATTTCCTGTCGCGGTCGCACCACAACCAGTAAAGGCATCAGCTGCCGCGTTAAAAGCTCTTTTCTGGTTGCTAAGTATGGCCACTCCGACAGAAGAACGTGCGACTTCTCGCAGTTGATATGCTTCACAGACCTTCACCTCACGATGAAGGTTAGCACGTTCAAAGCAATGGATAGCCTGTGGGTAACGCTTGTGCGAGAATAGTGAACGCCCAAAGGAGGCCCATTCCTCTGGAGTCGAGGAGACAGCTAGATGAGGAACATCGGTGCCAGGGGTACAATTTTGGATCTGATTGCGAGAGGTCCAGAATATCTGAAGGGAAAGGGTTATCAGATCGAGTTACGCCGACACGCTGCTCTAAACGTACCCGCATCGGGTCTGATTTATCGGACTTGTCGACGATCCACATGTTCTTCCTTGCTCGAGTGATTCCCACATAAAGAAGTTTGAGCTAATAAAAGTAAGCCAGAGTTTATTCCGAGGACCGGTGTGCCTACCTCACTACAAACCCCAGCATATCGTGCCTCATCACGATCGAAGTTTGGTGCATGCTCTTGACCCTCTACCCCATTGAGAACTATGCGCCATTGCGACAAATCTATAACAGAATCCTCGAAAAAGTTGTACAGCAGCACCTGGCCGAAGTCAGACATTCATCGGATAGCCAAGTTAGCTTTCTCACGTCATTGAATTCCAGGCCTTTGCTTTCGTAAAGGGTCCTGCATACATATGTGAACATGAAAACACAGAGCAAAGGTACACTTAATACGACTCACATGATCAGTCCAATTTCGCCTACTTGTTCTCGCACCTTCTGACGTGCAGCATCATCACGCACGAGAATGCCTAGATACATTATCAGTGTATGGATAAAACCTCCAACCAATTACTTTACACTGCTGGGCTCCGAATTCAATGTGGCTACCACTGGAAAATTCCTCAGTAGGATAGGAGGGATGTTGTTTAGGCCTACTTACCTCGCCCCGAACAGGAACTGTTCATAACGAACGGTGTCTTTATCCCAACCGGTAAAAAATACAGGCTTCAGCCCATCAACCACCCCTTTTTCTGGCCGAAGGTTATCGATTGTGTTGGGCCAAAATTTTGTGATGAGTTCAATCACAGAATGCGCGCAGTTGACAATGCCACCGTGCGATCTGTAGTTGATCGCCAATTGAAACATCGTGGGCTGATGAAGATATGCTCCAACGGAATTGACCGAGGTATTTTGCTGCTGCTGCAAGATATTAATTCAGGCCGGAGCTAAGTTACTGTCTGCTGACCTCCACACGGTAGAGAAACGCTTTCAGATCATCGAACCTAAAGGAACTCCCTGCAGAGATTGTCTGTGCGGTGTCCCCAGCCCAGAACAAACCATCTGGATTCCTGCATAATTGCCTCAAAACTGCAACAGAAAGTTCTAAGGACATTCCTGTCAATGAAAGATGGAGTAGCTACTTACAGAGTGCGTCGATCAGAAGGTTGTCTTGTGCTTCGTCGACATACCTAGTATAGGTGGTCAGGGGCAGGGTACATTGGTAGGGATAACACATACAGATAATCGACCTTTTGGCCAGGCAACCCCTGGCTCCGCAAGACCTTGAGTACCGCATGCGTGCTGTTTGGCCATATATTGTGACATAACTTGGGTGAGGAGGAATAGGACATACCGGTCTGCAACATCATGATGACGTCGTTGCCTCTTGATTTTAGTATAAATCTCGAAGATGTCATACAGAATTCCCCTCTGATTCGCAAAATTTGGGTTAGAACGATGAGGAAGACAGAGGTAGTTTGGGCGATCGAGAACTCCTTCAGGACAGGTCAGCGCGTGTTCGGAGCCTTTGACGATCCCTGCAGGTATATATTCAGGAAGTGTGGGTGTTAAGATGATACAAATTAGTGCTTACCCATAAATTCGCTGAAAACCAACCATGGGTCTGGTGGGGCAGTGTCAGTACTTCGTTGTGATAACAAGAAAAAAAGGATATTACTGAGATTCTTAGTGAGATTCTGCGGAAAATGAGGCCAGTATTGATTTGCGAATACATCATAGGTGACGAAACAGTCATGCGCCTCAGCATCGTCAACATTGAAGAAGAGTCCTGCATTATCTCTCGTTTCGGGGACGTCCTTGCTCAAGATATCTGCTGCAACCATCTTTGCCAGCTACATAAACGATTAGCTTAGGGACTGTCCAGACGATGAATTAGGACATACTCGATCGAAAGTCACAAAAAGAGGAAAGTGCTTGTCCTCAAGCTCACTGTATTTCATGGGTATGTTCATCAATGACTCAGGCAGGTCGTCGAGATCAACAAGGCCCTCCTGGATACTTTGCGCCTTCATTTTCGCAAGTTCCTGCAGGGTATAGCCTGCCAACGCAAGAGATTCGAGAAGCTTCGTGAAATACTCTTCCACTTTCGTGGCGAGCACTCTGGATTTGGTGACAAAGATTTGGCGTGGCTTCGGCATGTCAACGGCACTCATCTCCCAAGCTCGTTGGATGCCGAGAATCTTAAACAGCATCGTCGTGGTTTTTCTAGTTGGGTGTGATAAATACACTACTCCTATAAAGGGCGGAACACTTACCCCGTGCCGCTGCGACCCAAGACATAACACGACGTGCCACACTCGACAATCTTTTGTTCTTGAGGTCTGAACCGACATCGATCAAGAAATTCGTCGCATTGGGGCCGAACTCACGTGAGTATGAACACGTGCTGCACGTCTTGGTTTGCAATGAGACCTTCCGCAAAGATGAGAAGAGGTGGCGAGCCAACTACATGATTACTCACTATGCAGGAATGCCTAAATCAAGAGGTTATCGAGTCAATACTCGCGTGCCTATAAACCGTATTTACAAGCTTACCTGTGAGAATGTGACGTATTTCTCCAAACTAGAAAATCGTTAGATAGAAACTAATATGAGGATGGCGAATGCTCATACACAAGCAAAGAGTGAAGCTATGTCATGGATCAATGATCGTACTAATAACAATTGAAAATACTCAACGCGGTCCATGTCCTTATCACTCAGATCAAGTGGGCTTCCCGAACATTCTAGCTCAGGTTCAGCCGGTGGGAATGACGCCGGCAGAATCACGCTGTCATTAGAAAAGACTGGTCTGTTCCGAAAGATGCACCTGCACAGGAAATGATTCACTGAATTGCATTAAGAGTTGAAAAATGTCCTCACCTTCTACGATATTCTCTGCCCTTGCGCGCGAGATGGCTACCCAAGGCGTCCCATATTCTGCCAAGTTGCGCATGCGTATAGATGCCGTATACCTTGATTACTAGAGTTCACATGAGCACTAATGGCAGACACATGATGTAATTGCTCTTGATGGCTCACCTTGTCTTTCGGACTGTCGAGACTCCTGTCTCAATATCGTGCTCATCATCAATAGAAGAACGACCTACCTTTCCGTCCTGGTCAGGAACACAGTCGATCTGGTACTGTGAGAAAAGGTTGGTCGTCTCCTGCTGCAAGTGACGTATGTGAGATTACACCTACTACCAAACGTAGATCCCTTGTCATCTTGGCCTCGTGGATAGGTATGCCTGCATCCGGCCCATTGAGCCGTTTGTGGTTATCATCTGAGAAATGACCATTCGATAGTTGCCTGTGGCAAAGATGAGATCATTGCAACGAAATTCATCAGAAAACACACTTGATCTTCTTGACGATGATCTTGAATATCTTCTCATCTGCTCTACGGAATTCACGCAAATTTTTATAGGCTTCAGTAGATATGAGGATTCGCCACTCTCCGAACCCATCTGCGTTGTCGAAGTAAAGCGCAGCCTTCATGGGCTGTACCATTGGATACGCGTTGGGTCCGTTTGTCGGGCTCTCGATATCTTCGGTTGACGAAACTGCAGGCACAGCATCTTTGGCAGACTCTCCCACATTTGGGAAGAGTAAGGCTCTGATGTCGCCTGCCAATTCCGTCCTCCGCAGAAGCGAGAAATAGAACTTATGGAGAGCTGTCAGGAAAAACATCAAAAAGCAGCAAATATACGCACCGACAGAATATTTTTCAGCTCTGTAAGAATGTAAGAGGACAATGATATGGCGGCCTCACTGGTGGGAGGCACAACCACACCAAGCCTGACGAAGAGTGATGTGTCAATAGTCGTATGAACTTTCTGGCGATTACGCTTGCGAATTTTCTGAGGCACTTTCTTCTTGATGAATCCATCATCAGATTCGATGTCGAATAGATCAATCTCGTCTTCAAATGCCTTTGCACTAGCAAATTTCATGATGCTCAACGCGCAAAGTACGGGTAAAGCGCCCTCGATGAAGCCTCTGTGGCGGCTGATGTCCCTTGAGACTTCTACCGGCAGAGACTCAACTGGCAAGGCTAAAAAGTAAATAGACAAATTGTCTAGCATCTTGCTCGCAATGGATACTGGATATTCTTGAGATTTCGTTGGAAAGTCTGTCATGATCTGTGAGATCATTGCCTCACGACGATCCCAAACTGTAACAGGTCAGAGCTGATGGCGCTCGAAGAAAGTCTGTGAGATACCGGAAATGATATATGCAAAAACATAGGGTGATGACAGCATATGTTCGACTGTGGCTTGCAATCTGGTGGCTCCTGAACTTGAGACTGCGTCCAGATGATACAGGGCGGCTCTGAGGCCTGCCTCGTCGACTATTCGATCTTTGGAGAGTAAGTCCAACATGGTCTGTTGAACGAGAGGAGTTTGTGATAATGAGATACTTATACAACGTGCCGAAGAAATACTTGAACTGTGTCAAGAGGTACAAAGGTAGAAAGGAGTGCCTCGCGAAGCAATCTCCGCAGGCTGTTCTTATATTATCGAACGAGCGCTTTGTGTGAATTTCCAAACAGGTTGAGGCGCAAACAGTGCACCTAAAATTGACACCTGTAGGCGACGCCAGGGAAGCTGTATATGAGCGATAAACTTGGACCCTCGAATGATCCCAGATTGTGACAAGAACTTGACCCTTACGTACGTTTAAGAGGCACTGCTACTAGGTAATAACAATAGACTTATGAGATTGAGGATTAAGAAGTCTGAATGGTGACAAAAACGCGACCAGACCGGATCTTCGTGGATTGTGACTCCCGAAGCGTACTAATGAGTTTAGGTAGTTGTTCGCGTATATGCAAACATGATTGACTTCAAAAGGAGAGATGAGTTCAACGTTCAAAATTTTGCATGAAATCTACATACATATATTACGTAATTAAAGATGCTGCGGCTACTCCCGTGGTGTGTGGCACTGAATGCACTGGAACTTCAGCAACAGGCGGTTCGCAGTGACGCACTAGCAAATATTGTCAAGAATCCCTGCTCACTGGCCATCTACTCAAGACTTCATCTGGTTTGTTTCTTAACCTTATAGGCAGACAATTGCATCTCATTAGCTAGAAAAGACATTCTACAATGCCTCCCCCACACTATGATTTCCTCATCAAGGTGAGCACGCTGCGTACACACTCCAGACCTCGCACATATAACTTGCTTCGCAGCTGCTCTTGATTGGCGACTCAGGTGCGTTTGTTCCGTGGTTCTAGCGTGTTCCAATTTTAAGTTGTTCCCTAGGTGTTGGGAAGTCCTGTCTTTTGCTCCGCTTCTGCGACGATGCGTGGACGCCATCGTTCATCACCACAATCGGCATTGACTTCAAGATCCGTACAATCGAGTTAGATGGAAAGCGTATCAAGCTTCAAATTGTGCGTCCCAACACAGTCATGAACTGTTCGCTTTACAAAGCTAACCTTTATTGTACAGTGGGACACTGCTGGCCAGGAGCGGTTTAGAACTATAACGACTGCGTACTACCGTGGAGCAATGGGCATCCTTCTTGTGTACGACGTCACAGATGAACGATCATACAATAGTACGCGCTATAAGCATCGCCACTTTTGTCCCACCTTGATACATTTCATCTCTAGGTATCCGCACTTGGCATGCTAACATCGAACAACATGCCTCAGAGGGTGTCAACAAGATACTCATCGGTAATAAGTCAGATTGGACAGACAAGCGAGCCGTAACAGAAACCCAGGGACGTGAACTTGCTGAGGAACTTGGCATGAAGTTTATGGAGACATCTGCCAAGGCGAATGACGGTGTAGAAGAGGCCTTCTTCACCCTTGCAAGGTTTGTTGCATTGTGCTACATTTGCAGGCTTGACACTCAATTTCCAACTGTACAGAGATTGCAAGACTCGGCTCATCGACTCGCAAGCAGACTCAGCTGTCTCGGTTGGGGGTGCTTCCAACGCAGATGGGTCAGTGAAAGTCAACCAACCTGCGGCTTCAGCGTCAATCGGTTGCTGCTCATAAGCACCTATGTTGGACGCTAGTATAATTCGAGCTCATTTTGTTCATCTTTTGCAAACTACTTCGTGTTACCTCCGTATTCCCCTTCCATGTAATACTGTTCTACCACATGACGCGGTGCTGTTGACTGAATATCTTCATTAGTATTTGAAGCAAATGTTGCTTTGACTCGTTGCGCAGTGCGCAAGTGCCGAAGTTTTAATTTAAGATGAGCATGTTGCTTATGACTCCCCGAATTTAATGATGCCACTCGCCACATATTTAGTGTGTACGTGTTATTGTGTGTGGACTTCCGGTGATGCCTACATGTGAGGACGGAGAGATCTCGCGGGAGTAATCTGCCCGACTGCTGCATCATGCATCATGTGAGGCCTTCCTAAATTATATTCTGTAAGCTTACAACGAGACGAAAACCAATGCGTCGTAAGTACTTCAGTCATATTTTATGCAGTCACCCGGGCATTCGAGATGTTCTTCTAATTTAAGGTTTTCTTGAATGCTCGAGCAGGGTGAAGTTTATTCACCGTGACAACCGAGCTCGAGCACTCAGTAACAAACTACTCAAGAACTACTAGGAACTACTAACGTGTCATGGCGTCAATCACACTGCACCAATGCGGAAGCAGGAACACTACTCACTGTCACGGCAACTCCGGCGGTTCGCACAAATACAAGAAGCCACCCTACCAGGCTGGTGAGTCACGGAGTTAGATGAAAACTACTTATACTCACAGAGCGGTCAATAAGTACTTTTACGCATACATCGTCATAACAGCAATCTTCAGTTGATTTGCAGAGGAAGGGACATGTCGTGCTGTCAGCACTGACGGGAGACACTGTCAACTTAAAAGCAGCAATAACGGCGAGGACGAAGAGACGCATTATTTGTGAGATGTGATATGGGGTCCCAAAAATAAATCTGAAGGGGAGTAGGAAGACAGCTTGCTCTTATGCCCTGAATAGTGTTCTGTCCAGAACCTCAGCGTCCACCTGAAATACTCTTTCAAACAGATGATATTTGCATTGCCAGCAGACCTCAGATTTGACTTGCTCTGTCTCCGACAAAGTTATCTTGACGTGCCAACTCACCGGGCAGAAGAACACTGGTAATACAACCTGTTGTTGTATCCGGCCCACGATAGGTGACGCGACTGGAAAGTTCCTAGGGACTTGAGTCAGGGGTCTCATGGATACAAAGAGAAATATCATGCATGGGGGAACGCAAAATCGGATACTGGGAGATCTAAAATCCAAGGAAGAGTCCCCAGGTATACTATTATTTTCAAGACGTACACTACTATATGCAGTGCCATATTGTTGAGAATCTCAATTGGTTCTCATGTCCTACTGAGATAGATTTACTTGTCATATATTTCGGTAAGTTCCGCTTGTACTTTACGTGCTACGTATAACTCCGCTAGTCGTATTCAGTGAATTTCAGTCACTGCACGAGCCCCACCAACTGGACATGCCTTGAATCTCAACACATATGGTGCCGGACTCCGGCCACGTGAAAACCTAATCTAACCCTAAATCACTGCGGGCCATTACACGTCTCTCTGTAGATCCGCAAAGGCCCTCCGAGTCCGGGCATCCCAGGACCTTTTTTCGGTCTAAGCAATGCTCCACTAGAGTGACGTCTCCCAATATTTCATTCAATCGCATTACAGGGGAGAAGCACAGTTAAGTTTACATTCGGACTCTACTCAGGCTGCCACACCAATGTAAGCAGGATTCTTTTCGTCTCCGCTTTCCTCGCAGTCTTCTTCGAGACAGTACACTATCGTAGCCATGTCATCGCATATCGTCTTTACCGGGCTGAAATGCCAATGCAGCATCTCCTTGTCTATGGTGTTCCTGATGGCGTCGGGATAACACGCGCTTCGGTGGCAGTGATGCATATGCAATTGGAACGGCTCTGCACTCACGCGAAAACCTTGTCGGACGTATTTCATAAGTGCTATCAATGTTTACAGATTGTTTGCGTCGTCCAGATATACGGCGGGATTCACCAATCTCTTCTCTCTTGTCCACTTGGGGTAGAAACAAACGAGGGTACGTGAGGTGATACTGTCTCAACGCTGATAAGCGCACCCGTGAAACCTCAAGAAACACAAAATACTTGCGAAGGACGACGCGATGCCACTGTAGAAGTCCCGTCGTCAGGGAGTTTCCGGAGCTCTTGATCCGATACTACATGCGAGGCGAGAGGAACGTATGATGAATGACCTGACGTCGATGAACTACAAGCCCTGATAAAAAGGGTTTGCAAAATTCAGACAGCGTTGCAAATAGAACAGGCATAACAGGGACAATTGGGAGGTGATTATGCGGTATGAAACCCGGTAGGCCTGTATGATCCAGCGCACAATTGTTTTTGCTAAACCAATACCCATTTCTAGGTCCTGGGACTGACGTTGGTTCTCCACTAAAATACGCATTTCATAGCAGGCACAGACGTGGCACTAGACACGTTTTACGTGAAGGAATGCTGTATTTCTTCATTTGGTCTGGCTAGGTAAGATTAGTCTCCATTGTTGTGAGGACGGAGCGCCGGTACATGATGCCTCATGCCTAATAGAGTCCCCTGCATGAACATCAGGGAAGTCTTTACGTACTATTGTCTTCGACATTCACAGGTATTTGTAGTATGTACAGGCGCAACTTTGGAAACAGATGGAATCCAAGAAGACCATATAGGGGTGCGAGTGAGGCAATTTCACTCAATGTACTATATGTGACCGGCGTGCAGCAGGCTGAAAATAGTTACTGTAGAAGTACAGCAGTGGAGCCGCATTGTCCTCATGTCTGCTAGGGTGGCATATCAATGAACTACGAGCGCAGCACCCTACCAGGTGAAGCGAAGGACCTGGTTTTGGCTCTTAGTCTTGAAGAAATTAATACATGTAGGCTGTAATCAAATGATTACACATCCCGTATTGATATTGTCTGCAAAGTATTGCTTGAGGGTGAACCAAAGTTTATAATAATTGCAACTGACAGGCGTCGGCAAATCAAGCCTTGCGCTGCGGGTCAGCGATGACGTTCAGTTCCCTTCGTTCATTTCAACAAATGGAATTAACTTCAAAGCATGAGACAGGTCGATGGAAAGTATGTCCGGATTGCGACTGCGAGTACAATTCTACTTTGTCGAGGCGATGCGCGGGAACTACGTTATCGCACGAGTGGAACACGGCAGGGCAGCAACGTGTTCAGGAAACCACCAACACACCTAACGCAGGACCAGTAGTATTGTGAAGGTATATGACGTCACGAATCAGATGTCCTGACCTGCTCATAGATATCCGTAGCGTATCAAGCAGATGCTGTCAACGCTATGCTTCTTAGGGGCAAGGCAGACGTGCTGGGCAGACCAATTGTAACGGAATAACAAGAAAAGCTTTAGCGTCTTTCGACTGGGCATCACATTCACGGAGACATGAGCAGAGACGGACGGGGGCGCAGATGGTGCATTCTTTGGCGCTCAAAGGTGTGAAGGAGCATGCATTTCATGCTGCAACCGGTATTTCTGGGGACGAAGCCTTTGTATGTTGCACCTGTGGACACAAAGATATTGGAGCGCTGTGACAGCTAGATTGGGCGTAGGGAGCAAAGGAAATACAAGAAAAAAACAATGAACAATGGCCTGGTGTTAACGTTGAGCGAGTAGCTTGATTGTAGCTCGTTGGGCTTGTATAGTGCCAGTTGATTATAAGAATGGGGCCATAACTGACAGACATAGTACAAGTAACAAAGTCGTCCCGCTGGGCAAAGTTTACAAACAGGCTTGAAATCAGTCCGGAGAAAGAGATTGGCAATTACCGAAAGCGGTGTTGTGGCACCGCCACCGACAAGATTACTAGTTTCATTTGTAGGTTTTAAGGATTTCATCGACTTGCTCTAATGCTCTCATCTGCCCTTCCTTCCTCCCCGCATTCAGACTTTCATTACTTTCCTTTTGAAAAATCTTCGAAAAAGCTACAGCAAATGGATATATGCGTCACTACACGCCGCGCTTGGAAGTCACAAATGATACGTGAACAGGAGGCCGCAGGTTCACAGGCACACCTATCACCGCCTACACCAGTTTCTGCCGAAACATCACCAGAAGCTGATGAGCCAGTTCACTTCGCGCAGATAGCAGGTCCTTCAAAGCGACCTAGAATATTGTCAGTCGCACCCGAGCCAACATCATGCCCTCCGAAGTCGAAGAAACGCGCGACTATAAGCGCGTCTTCGTCACGTACTCAAAGTCGACAACGTTCCGAAACTCTCGATATCGAGTCTATATATCGAAGCAGTCGTTCTCGATCAACTTCGACCTTTCCTCCAGCTGATCTCCTTCATCGTCGACAGTTGTGGATCACTGAGGATGGTTCGCCAGGTGAGAACTTTGTCAGTGCCGCGTCTGTAGTAACGATATTATCTCGATCGTACAAAACTTGTGAGAATCCATATATCACGCGCAAATTTCATTCGAATTTATACTCATTGCAGATTTCAAGAATTTGGACGATTCCAGTGACACCTCATTTGAAGCTGAATCTCATCCTGCCACCGAACTCGAGTATCCTAATTCTAACGCCTGTGAGACGTGCGTGTTGTGTGGTGACTTATACTGCTTCTTGCTGATCTACCTCGCGTGCAGCTATTACATACTGGCTCCTAAGGACCCAGATCACTACAACCCCATCATGTGCCTAGAACAATCATTATATACTATCTTCGAATGTGCGTTGCTACCGTCACCAGTCGCGAGCACGGATTCTGATGCAATACTAGGCTACCTTACGCCCGCGCAGCAAGCGCTATTTGGAACATTACCTACAGACTTTCTACAGGATGTCGATAACACACCGCCATCCTCACCACTCACACAGCTTTCGGGTGATTCAGAACATTCAAGTCCTGTAAAATTCCCTTCGTACGACCCTCGTGGAATGAACCATTTGCGTCTCCTCCAACGTTCCATCCGACGGCGTGACGGACCACTTTTCCTTTCTACCATGCAAAACGTTAACCAGCTCCTCCGTGCGCTGAAATACCCACCACTCCCATCGGACCCATTTGCACCTTCACCTCCTAATGTACTTATAGAGGCTATTAAAGGTTGGCCATCAAGCGAAATCCCAAATCGGGTGCTCATGCGCATAATCGACGAAACGTATCAACGTTCCGTAGGCCCACATGCTCTTAAGTTAAACCGCTACGAGGCATTTTCGAGCGAGGTGTATGGCGAACTGATGCCCTCGTTCACGTCGGATATCATCGCCGCCACACGACTCCACAAGGATTCTTTATTTATGGATTTGGGCTGCGGGGTTGGAAATGTGCTCGTGCAAGCGAGCCTAGAAACGTGCTGCAGAAGCTACGGAATTGAGGTGATGCCTACACCTGCGGAGGTAGGGAGAGAGCAGCTAAGGCAGATGAAGAAGCGTTGTAGGATGTGGGGACTTTCAATGGGAGAGGTGGAACTAGAGGAAGGAGACATGCTGACCAGTCGGAGAGTGACTGAGTTGCTACCTCAGGCGGATGTTGTACTGGTCAACAACAAGGTGTTCCAGCAGTCGTGTCAGTGAATTTCTTTTGTTTGTGGCAAAACATATTGATCACGTTACAGTAAACGAAGCACTACGCCCGCGGTTTCTAGATTTAAAAGAAGGCGCTATTGTTGTCTCCTTGAAGCCATTCGTCTCTTCTCTCAATGCACGCGTTACTGAGCGCAACGTGAGTGATGACACATATCCGCTTCACACATTTATCTCATGAATCCCGCAGGTGGATGATATAAGCGCGATCTTTGATGTATCTGAGCGGCCCTACCGCTCTGGCAGCGTTTCATGGGGCAGCGGAGGTGGCTCGTATTATCTACATCGAGTTGACCGGGAAGGCTATGCGGTCATCAAACAACAGTTTGAGAACCAGCGCGCGAGGAGTGCGCGTGCCTCACGGCGGTGATAATCTAATAGACACTAATAGACATTTTGCTCTCATACTATCGTTGTTACCTGTCGACACAAGTGATGAGTACCCTGTTACCCTTCCGAAGTACTTTAGCTCTCAAATGTTAACAAGAACAAGGTGTAGCGTAACGTAAGAACGTAATGACAAGACCTCGAAAACCTCGTCAGCTGCAGATTTGCCTCTGATTTACCCGAGTAAGTAGTGGGAAATGAGTGGCAGCAAAAACCTCTTGTCCACAAACGGGACAGCTTTCTGGTGCTCGCCAATGGCAACGACGATTCGTTTTACATGAAAATTGCCACCTAAACCTCGATCAACTCAACCTACAACTCGGGTCATTCATTACCCATCTCTTTGCTTGTCCAGAATACCTGCTATCTGCGCCCATCTAATTCACAAGTCAAGTTTCATCAGTTCCACCGCACCAAACTCTACCCGTCTATCACTTTCGCTGCGCTCGTCCTTCTCCGACAAAGTCCACATTCTCTCTGCTAAGCTCATCCCGCCGACAACGCTGGACATGCTGTCACCGAGTTATTTGACATCGATCTCTCCGGCCTGAACCGCATCTCCCCCAAGTATAGTGGATTGTACTACTCGTATCTTATCGGTATCATTATCGTTCGGTATTCCAGAACATGAGCCTGCGCCGGTATCACCGCCATCAAACATCATTGATTCATCATTCTCGCACTCACGAACGGGAACAATAACTTAGACGTGTTGTCCGTTTCAGGATCCTTCGTTGAAGTTGGAAGAGCTTTGAAAACATAGAGACACGTCTCCCTCTTTTTTTTTTTTTTTGCTTGGAAACAATTTTTTCTTACATCTCCTTGTGTATTGTCTTAGTATTAGAGAGTGATCAAATTTACTTGTATTTCTTGAATCATCTTCTGTTTTATGCGGTTTACTTAAGGAGGAGAAGGCGCTCCGACATTTTTCTGATGGCTGGGCGAAAGTAGGAAGTGGTGGGAGGACCTTGGCAGGTCACGCTCCGGCGCAAGGTTCCGAGGCGTAGAGGTAGGGCCATGCTTCATAGGGTTGTAGATGCAATTGGCGCGTGACGCGGGAGGGCAAAGGTTGGAGGTTGGGTGTGGTAGTAGGCGGAGTGAGACTGCGGGTCGGGCGTGGTGGGCAGTAGATGGTGCTTAGCCTCACCATACACGAGTGATACTTTACCGAGCGCCGAGCAGTGCTGAAGGTCTTGACCTCTGCTGTAAGTGTAGCGCACGTACGTCAACATTTGGTACTAGCCGAAGCACTTCGAGGGGGCACTTACGACTCTGAAGACTGAGAACACTGGAACAACGTAAAAGAACAATGGATATAATCAATGGGCATTGGGCGATAATGAGAAACGTGGCATGTCAACAGCTTCAGATTGGCAACTAAGATGATCCTGGAGCTTGGAGATGAAGTTCCTTCGTGCACAGGTCAGGCGCCAATCATTGATAACGTAAGTATTAATTACCTACGCAAAGTGTTCTGCCCTTCGGATAACGCAAGGAGGCAGGACCCCAAGCCCTTCTAGCACCACTCACTGCCTTTCATTGGAATGAGCCGAGAAGAGGTGGCGATTCTAGAAGAGCTCGGATGCATAATTGCGGAAGACCCAGTTATGACATGTGTAATTCAGAGCGTCAAAAGCTGGTCGACCCCGATCCCGCGCTTCGAAGTTTGGAAAAAATGCATAACTTGCGCGGATCATAATACGGATGGTCTCTACGTCCGGTACAAGACGACCATCTGACCCGGAATACAGATATGGAATGATACTGGGGTCGTAAAGCCAGGAACGCTGGAGATATCAAGAATCCGGTAAGCTCTTGAACTGCTCACCCAGATGGCTTCAAGTTGAAAAGCTAGCCGTAAAGGTAATTCTGGGACGATTGTGTACTCATCCTGACATAGAAAGAGCGACTATCTTTTTTTTTTATTCCTGCCAAAGACTAGGTCAATCTCGCGAACTATGAATCGATGAGCAATTCGGCGGCGCTAGGCCTATTCGCAGGATCCAGACGTAAACATCTCTGTATCATAGCTGCAGCCTGTCGTAGAAGAGAAGTCTTCCTCCTCTACTGTGACGCCTTTGCCGCAGTATCTGATGCACGGTGGTATCACGCATCGTTCAATGTAATCCCACCGGAGTGATGAATTCGGTTTGTTGAGATAACCTGCACAAGATAGATCGAACAGTGAATAAGTGGTGGAGATCTGAGTCCGGTGATAAGTTCGAGAAGTGATCCCGGCCAGAGGTGTAGGGGCTCAATAATGCGATCACTTACATGATGAATGTGACACAAAAGTTAACTCCATGTACCAGCAAAAGAGTTTTTATAAGCGTCTTCCCAGAACCTGCGTTCTGAGCATGTTCTTCACTCCCATACCTACCACCAGGAACACAAACGTAATTTTTACATAGGGCACTGCACCAAGATGACAACAAATGGGACGTATAGGAGTGAAAAGGATTTAAACCAATTTTGCACTTCCAGCAAGAATATCCGCATTTTGGCATCCAGCCAAGCCTACCAATAGTGAGAGGAAATCGTGGACTGTATGTCGAGTCTAGTGGTGAGGATAGGGGGGCCGTCGTCATTGCCACAAGTGGGGGCAGAGAAAATGTCACCGTCGATCGATTTGTGCAGGTTGAGCATCAGCCGCGAGATTAGAGTAACAGACATGCTGCTCCGAGGGCATAGTCAGACTTTGATCGATATTTATCACACCAGCCACTGACCAACTAGTAAATGTGCTCAGAGAGCCCCTGGCGATATCCTTGCCAATGACCAGTTAATGGTCATCATAGATATATGATATAGGTTAGTGTGCTCACTGAACCGCACTGAATCAAGCTGTGAGTGTGCGACTCAACCAATGATTCAAATATTCATCTGTTGACTCACGTAGTACGTCAGGATGTTCGGTATATTGAACAGTGTCATTGCTCTTAAGCGATGGGGTCAGATTCACTTGAATCACAATTTCACTAGCAATCTCACCCGAAGTACATTGCACCTGCATTCGGTTGGTTAAGTGATCACAATACTGATGTAGCGAAACATTTACCGTCCTGAAACATGACATCAATAATATTTCTTCTGGACCTTGTCAGAGATAACCGTAGTAATCCTCTGATTTTGAAAATCTTAATCACTGTGAGGACAAAGATGAGCAACTCATAAACAGACAGGGTCACCCATGCAACACCAAGACCTGCAAATAAATAGAGTCAGGGCATAAAACCACGTGCCAATACATCTCGAGTTCACTGACGAATGGTTCTGCAACAACGCTTGAGCAGGCGCGTAGAACCATGAAGAGGATGACGTACGCCTCTGCTGTATATGTTTGATAACAGCCTCCTCCTTTTGGCAAGTTGGTCACAGTGATTGGATAAAGACCAAAGGTCTCTGTCTAGAAACGATCAGTATACTCCGGAGTCAAACATTTCATGCAAACACGCACAGCAGCTCCTCCCGTAAAGGCAAGGATGCAAATTACCAAGAAAGCAAGCATACGTTTGCTACGGCCGTAGAGAGCATAAGTGCGAAGAGTCAATATGACTGAAATTTTTAGTAAATGAATTCTCGACATAAACATCCACTCACGGCAAACAATAACTGTTTGTGAAAAAATGAGCACTTGTCTTGATAGCGTGTATGTCGGACAGCTAAGTATTTGCTAAGCAAAAGGACAGATCTTCAAGAACCAAAATCGAACCTCTGCGCGAAAAAAAGTCGTGAGCCTGCCATGTAAGTACATGTATGCTGAAATATAGCACCTCAAGTGAGACAGGCAGGAAATACCCAATCAAACCATAGACATTTCCCAGCAGAGCAACATAGCGATTAAGCAGAAACAACACTGCAGACAACATCTTCGGGCGACACCAAATACAGGAAATCTCTTCTGTGAGGGTCGCCATATGGTCGTATATCAGAATAGCTAGTAGAAAATAGTGTCAACGTCCTGACGGCAAAAACAAAATAAATCGTAGTACTGGTTGGCACTAGAATGGCCGGGTAGTAGAACATGAAGCTGCCAGGGAGCACTATCAGTCTATCAAGATACATGGTACCGATCCGTGCGTGTGCGACTCACATTTGGTGTGCTTGAATGATATCTTCCATTACAATGAAACAATATGCAGCAGTGGGGTGTTGAGCATGCTCGGTGCGATTTTATATACCAACTTGAGACCCAGGCCAACGTTCCTCCGCAAATGTCATCATCCACTGACCAGGTGCTGTGTATGCAAACCCACGAGGTCTCAAATACAAGCAGTTAATTTCTTGTTGGTCGGCGAGTCCCATGGAGACGTAAACCAAGCTAAGAGATCACCAGGTTGTTACACTATGATTGCATGCATGCGCATTTGATCCGAAAATAACGTTGGCGATGTCAATTATGACTTGCTGTTTTGAAGGCGTAGCCCGTGAGAACCGAACGTTGATTAGGTCATCCACAGCACCTGCCACTGGAGTGCACAAGTACGTACCTGTGAGCTGGGCGCCTTACGTATCATACAGCGTTCAATTGCTTCATCATGGGCTTGTTGTCTCTTTAGCGTTCACAACGGCTACAATGTTCGTGGTTCCGTCGAATCCGCCGTTTCTGCCTTGCGTGTCGTTTTCTTGGCAGCGCTTGTTTCAACTTCAAGTCCGAGAACGTTTCTAACAAATCGACACCCCACATATGCCCCTGGACGATTCCGCCAGGGTCTATAATAGACTTGCCAATAACGTTAGACTATCACATGTTACTCGCCATCAGCGATGCACTGGAAGTGCATTTTGACTTTGCCCATTACCCTGCCCGGGCCGCATGTCCAGGGTCCTTGGGCTTCGGGAGTTTGTTCCTGTAAAGCTCCCGCGAACATGTGCACCACATTAATTTGCATCGCCCATCCTTGCAAGCCTGAGACCGAAGGGGATTTTGCGGAGGAGGAAAGTTGAAAATAGTATTTCGCGCAGCAAACCTGTTTTATATGGTATTTATTTTATGCCTTGTTCAAATATGTTCAAGCCTGCTTTGTGACAGCCATGAAACCGCTCAAGAGCATCGGTTCTAATCAATGTTTTCGCTTCATGGAAAAAACAAGGAGGCCGAAACTGCTCGTTCATATGATATTCATGTATCTAATCATAGATAAGACACTGTCCGCGTCATCCACTTCGCCATCACCGAAAATCTCCCTCATCAGATCCGCAGTGGTTTGCATTGGCTCAGGAGCTTGGGTGTCCTCCGAAGATTTGTTTCGGTGAATAGGTGCTGCCTCGTGCATATCTGGACATGGATGGTGATCACTGGCGGATGGAAGTTCTTGAGGTGCAGTCATATCAATGTCGACCGTAGGCCGAGGTCGCCGACGGGGATCACTCGTCTTCTTTGACGCCTGCGCCCTCTCAAACATGCAGAGTACACCAAAATCGCCATATACGACGCGCTTCATGGAAGTGCTATTTGCACCGATCGGAAATCCCGGAGTTGCATTGGACTGAAACCAAAATTCGTCCTTGGCGTCTACCATCTCGTGGCCCGTTATAACGCCGACACGGGAATCCGCCAAGCCCTGAACGCCTGGTGATCACTGTAGCTGTCGCTCATCGTAACTGCACTCGTATGAATATCGGGGCCTCACGAAGGGCAGCATATCCCGGGTCGTTTTGTTCACGTCGCGAATGCCAATAATAGCTCGCTTGCGCTTTGGACTGGATTCTCCACACTCGTATTCGTCGTATGCTTCTCCATGCATAAGCTGACGAGCATAGTGCGCATGAAGAATTTTGAGATCTGGTGTTGATCGCTGAGAAAGGTTTAGCGAAGCAGAACTACGCTGGAGGGTGGTGCGGGACTGGATACGTTTCATCCTGTCCTTGAGTGTCCGAAAATGTCTATTTTGTGGACGTGACCTCAATGGATGCTTTGGTCTCGGATGTGAAGGAGAGCAAGTCGGAGATGACGGAGTCCATGGCATCTCCTCTGCGTGAAATGAAAGAAATCTAGCCTTTAGTTCCGCCTAGCAATGGTAAGTGAAGAGCCGTCGAAAGTTTGGTGGGGCATATCTCACCCAGTGGTTTGCGGTATATCGCAAAGAAGGTCCCGATGCTCCCTGAGTATCGATGCCATGATTTTGGGAAGAAATACAGACTGGAGATTGGTAGGTGTCAAATTGACCGATCATGGTAGCCAGCCACGAGATTAGATGAGTGCACGGGATAGGAAAGATTGTTTGGAGATAAAATATAGGGGAAGGAAGGTAGTAGGACCTTGAATACCATGTCGTACCATGGTCTTGAATAGAACGCCGGATGTCTCAGACGCATCATTCCAGTCTGAATTGCAACTTCATCGAAGATTATAAAAGATATCATACTTGGGACTCAAGCTGAGGCAGAAGAGAGCTCTAGCAAATCCTGATCAGCACTCGCGCCAAATCGGCTCATTGGGACTCGACATTTAACCATTGTCTCGACTCTCGCTGGGCAAGAATACGTGAGGCAGAGAGGACATGCGGCACCATGTAGGAATGACCATCCACATATCGCCCTACGTATAAGATGCGCATCGGTCAGCGACAGAGATGAGCGCTTCGCCTACATAAAACGTGAGCTGTGAACCGGACACATGATGAAACAAGGGACGTTAAAAAAGCGAACGGGCGCCCAACTAACCTATCTTGACTCCAAAAACGCACATTGTCCCAGTTTACAGCTCGCTCCTCTCGCTAGTGACTGAGTTGGTCTGAACAGAGCTTCTTGTAAGTGATAACTAGGTTTTTGTGCAAGATAAAGCTGACCGCTCGTTTTACTTACCAGCGATTTTGGACTCTTGCAAAGATGTCTTGCGAATTCTCGAACAACGGTGCAACAGCTCCTGTGTACGGTCCTGAAGCCGTCCTGCGAGTCAGTATTGAATTTCTATAAGCTGGTATTTCACGCAACACACTGTGATGAAAAGATAGGCCCGTAGTAGGCTCACCAGAATTCATTGCCCTTCCCAGATTACTCGTCTAATTTCACTATCCCAGCGGAGCCCTCTCGCATGCAAAGAGCACGATCACCTATGAGACACTGGGCGCCGATTACGTCTTCCGCGAATAGTAGAAAGTAACAGACGCCAGTGGTCAAACCCCCGTTGGGCGATACGAGGTCATACTGCCGAGGTACAAGATGTTGTAAACCTGCCTGGGAGACGACAGAACATCACCTGCAGGTTCATGGGACAGCTCAGTCAGACTATGAGACATAGAAAGTGGTACACAAATAGGCAATGACTGGCGAGATGAAGGGAGTCTGGTATAGATATTCAGCATGATATTGTCTCCAAATGGCAACACTGTTGTGAGTGGAAGCCTCGATGATGGGAAAGTGAGGTTGTGGGAGACAGGGAACTCGAAGGTCGTTGCCAAATGGACAGAGCATGCTGATTATTTGTCATCAGTGTGCTGGAGTGGATATGATGAGTTGTAAGTGGTGAGCGGATCCAAAGATGGGACAGCAAGACGTCGAGAGTGGAGAAAGAGTACTTGGTCCAATTCAGATGCTCATCCAACAGATCCAAAAATGTGACATGCGGATACGTGCATTGATGCCATCACTCAAAGTTGTATCACGTGTAACCAGATTTGACGACAACGCAGTAAAAATCTGGGATGTGAAGACAATCGAGTTACGTCCTTGCGAGTGGATCACGGGATAACACAGTGCATTTGTGGAATATACAAACCTCCAAGTTGGATCCGTCAGCACTCAGCCCCAGTGAAAGTCGGTCAGACGCCAGCCGACGGAGAACGACGGAAATCGACGAACTGTGAAAAGTATGATGTCAGTCGACGAGCGTCGACAAATGGCGCGTTACGTCGATGCACAGACGACTGGTAGCAACGCTGATTGACGCCAGTCTATAAAACATCGAGTAGTTAGATTTCCGTAGATTTGAATAGATGGCTCGCATCCATTGGTTCTCACATCATATCGACGCAAATTGACGGAAAACAATGCATTTGAAAGTTACAAAAGCAACAAAAAAAAGCTAAAAATGGGCTACCCGCCCGCTCATTCGCACCAGCTCTTCCGTCCTACTACCCACCCCTGCTGACGATACCTAGCACCTAGCTAATGCAGCGTACCACCAGAGAACTTTGCAAGAACATCGACTGTGTTCGCGGTCCAAACACAGCCAGCAACCTAAATAGAACACACGAATAAGTGTATAATAGGAATAGGATCAGTACTTACCAGATTCGAGGCCTCGATGTCGTAGTTCTGTAGTCAGCATTACAATGAGAGCAACGCATAAGATAAGAATAATAAAATCTGAAAGCACTCTCGGACGCATGCTCGAAAGCGAGGAAAAGCGAAATTCCATGTTCAATGTCAGAATCATCTAGCCGTGCTTGTGCTTGTGGTGGGTTTCGCAAATGCTCCAATGCATCTCCGATAAGTCCAGCACCGTCGTCGAGAGTAGCATTATGCAGCGCGAGAATAAATTGCATATCTCGCTGAAGTTCAAAACGTTTCGCATCACGACCCAACTGATCTAGGTCAAGATCTTTCAATGGATTATGCCAATGTGCTGCAGGTGGTGTCTCGTCACGCTGATCTTGATCGGCTGCATGCATCTCATTATTGTCAAGATCGTCAGGCGGTCCATCAGGCTCTCGATGCTGCTCGTCATCATCACGACCTTCAAGATCTCGGGGCAAGGCATCAAAGTCTGGCTCTGGTATGTATTGATCATTGTCTGGACTGCCTGGGGGATGCGGAAGATTGACATCCTACATCATAATATTAGCGAGGTAACTTAGATTGTACAATTGCCTTACATTAACAAACAGTTCTTCTGATCCACATCTGCGCTTGCATGAAGGCCTGTCGTCATCACTGCTACTGGAAGATGTAGTGGAAGAGGGTGTACGTCCCGAACCGGAGGCAATGGGAGGTTGCATGAGAGATGGTCCTGCAGCTGGTGCATTGTTCGTAGTAGTAGCAACAAAGTTTTGAAATGACCAAGAGAGCCGTGCAGCTCGCACTCGAGGCTTCTCATCCTCATCAGCCTCTTGCAGGTGTCTTTGCCATGTCCTGAGGGACTTCAGACACTTCCGCTGTCCATGACAATATTTCCGACAGCAACACCAGTGTTCTGCGTTCATAGGCTAACTACAATGTCATGTGCTTAGTAGCCACATAGTAAATGAAAGAACACACCTTTGGGAGCCTTCAGATTGGTTTCGAGTAGCCTCAGTGACACGACAAAGTACAAAATCAATGTTGCTCAAGACTCGTTGAACGTACGTTGAGCCGCGCAGCGTGCAAGAGAATATTGGCCTTATCAGCTCAAATCAAACACGTTGTTCAACGTTTGTTTACACAAGTTAGATTTCCATCAATCTAGGTCTACTGACTACTCCGAACCTACAAATCCATCAATCTCCGTCCGAGGGCATCTGACCGATTCTTACTGGGACTCAGCGCTCATCGATCATCGGCGGTTAACAAAGGTATTTCGAGACAGATTTTTCGGTCTTTTCTTTGCTCTTATGGTCGTTTTTGCATGACTATGTGATCCAGCGACAAGAGAACCCACCCGTACCCATGTCTGGATTCTGGGTCATGGCTAAGAAATGGCTTACAAAGCAGGGTCATTCCGAAAACCAAACGTCCATCTGACTCCGTCACCGCCATCCCATTCTCGCAGATATTACCTCGCGAACTTGAAAGTAGGAGATCTGGTGCACCTGCTCGAAACGAAAATCATGCGTTATTCTAGGAAGAATGCCGAGTCAAAGTGGAGAAGCTGAGCTATGACGTTATTGAACGACTGTTCCGCTCTGGCTTTTCAGAAGCAACAGCCGACCAGGAAGACAATGCGAGCATCGAGCAACATTTTGACAACTTGCACACCACGCTTGTCTCGCAATCTATCAGACGTTTTCTTATAATTACTTCGTATGTGAGTTGTAAACACTGGAGCAACGTAACGGAAATATAGCAATTAGGGTAGATAATAAGACAGTGTGAATGTTACATTGAATAGGTAGCTTCAGACTCATGATCTTGGAGATTGGAGGAGACGTTCCTATGTGCGCAGGTCAGGTACTGAATTGCAAAATTCAGCGGAAATACACACCCTTGCGAGTTTCTGCCCTTCAGATAAAATGATGAGGCAAGCCCATAAACCCTTCAAAGACCACTGCCTTTCAAGCCAGGAGAGGAGGTAATGATCCCAGAAGAGCTTAAATGCATGGTTGAGCTTGTCGTCCCGTGGATTCGGAGCTCGCGAGAGATGGAAAGCCCAGTTTTGGCATGTATAGTTCAGGATGTCAGAAGCTGATTGACTTTGTTCCCGTGTTTTGTGTGCGAAGATTGTAAATGCAGTCATGGCATGGATGACTTCGATGTCTGGTAAAAGATTATGTTGTGGGAATGTTGAGGTGGAATGATCCTGAGGCCTTAATGCTAGGAAGACCGGAAACATCAAGAAATCTGGTAAGCTCTTGAACTCTTGGATTACTTGAAAAGTAGGCAGTAAATGCAATTCTGGGACTATTGCACTTTCATTGCATCAGGAAAAGTACATATTACTTAAGCTTGCCTTAAACAGACTTAAGTCATACTTTTGTTACTTAGCAAAAATGGATCTACTTTGCCAGTACTTTGCCAGAAATTCAACTTTAAGATATTCAGAAAAAAATTGTTCAGTCATATTAGCATACATATTTTGTTATAGGCTGCACTAAAAAAATACAAGATTTACTAGGTGAACAATGCATGAGAGACACACAAATGTGGCTAAGTTGATTAAGTAAGATTAAGCAACATGCACTTTTCCTGATGTGATTGCTTCCAGTGTGCTTGAGAACTCTTCTGTTGTCACCCACATAGATGCTGCAGGGGTCAACTGCCATGCTTGGCCATGGGGTGTCTATAGCCAGTTTCACCCACTCCCTGTCTGCAACCAGTCTCTCCCACCTTTGGTCTGCAGCCAGTCTCAGCCACTCATAGTTTTCAGCCAGTCTCGCCCACTCTGGGTGTGCAGCCATTCCTGGCCACTCGGAGTCTGCAGCCCGCTAGGGGTTCTTAGACACTATTGCCCATGCAAGGTATGTAGCCACTCTCCCCTGCCTGTAGTCAGCAGCCACTCTCCTCCAATCTGGGTCAGCAGCCAGTCTTGTCCACACCAGGTCAGTAGCCAATCTTGCCCATGTGAGGTCTGCAGCCATGCATACCTGATTGGAGTCTGTAGCCCATTCAGGGATTGCAGCCAGTCTTGCTCACTCTGGGTCTCCAGCCACTCCCACCCACTGCTTGTGTCCAACCATTGTTGCCCACTCTCGGTTTTCTGGAGCCACACTTTTCCACATTGGCTCTGCAACCATGTTGGCCTGCTTGGGGTCTGAAGCCAGTCTTGTCCATTCGAGGTCTGCAGCCAGTCATGCCCACTGCTGGTCTCTTACCAGGCCAGTCCACCCTGGGTCTGCTGCAGCCAGTCTTGTCCACCCTGTTTCTGCAGCCATTCTTGTCCACTTGGAGTCTGCAACCCATTCGGGGTCCATAGCCACTCTTACCCACACAAGGTATGCAGCCACTTTCCCCCACCTGGAGTCAGTAACCACTCTTCCCTGGTCTGGGTCAGCAGCCAGTCTTGAGCACCCTGGGTCAGCAGCCACTCTTCCCTGCTCTGTGTTAGCAGCCAGTCTCATCTGTTCAGAGTTTTCAGCCATACTTGTGCACTCTGGGACTGCAACCAGTCTTGCCCACTCTGAGATTGCAGCCATTCACAACCACTTGAAGTCTGTTGCAACCAATTTCACCCATGCCAGGTCTGCAGCCAGTCATGTGCAGTCTGGGTCTGCAACCAGCCTTGCTCATCCAGAGTAGGCAGCCAGTTTTGGGTCCCTGCCCACTCTTGTCCCATCTGAGTTTCTAGCCACTCTCGCCCACTGTTGGTCTCCAGCCACTCTAGCCCACTCTTGGTTTGTTGCACCCACTCTCACCCTCCTGAGGTCTCTAGCCAGCTTCGGCCACTCTGGGTCTGCAACCAGGCTTTCCCATCCTGGGTCTGCAGCCAGTCTTGCCCATACTTCGTCTGCTGCCACTCTTTTCTCCTGCTCCACAATGGCAGCCAGTCTCACCTTCCCTGAGGTTGCAGCCAGTCCTGCCCACTCTGGGTCTGCAGCCAGTCAAGTCTGTTTGAGGTTTGCAACCAGTCTTGGCCAGCCCAGGTCTGCAGCCAGCCTCTTAGAATCCGGGTTGGCAATAACCCTTGCATCTGGGTTTGTATCTACTACTGGCTGGATGAAGTGTGCAGCCAGGACTGTCTGCTCCCAGTGTCTAACCAATGTTTTTTGCTGCTGCTCTGCAGCCACTCTGCTCCACTCAGAGTTTTCAGCCACTCATGCCCACTCAGAGATCTCAGCCGCTCACACCCTCTGTGGGTTTCTAGCCACTTTCAACCTCTCTGGGTACACAGCCAGTATTCCCCATTGTTGGCCAGCCAGGCATATATGTCCACTATCTCCAGCCACTGTAGCCCCTCTGGAGTAGTGTTGACCATTCTGTGTGTTCAGCCACTGCCCAGTCTTCAGCCAGTACCACCCGCATTCTGTTTCCAACCAGTCTCTTCCCCTCTGGGTCTCTAGCCAATCTTGACTACTCTTGGTCTCTAACCAATCATGCCTGCTCTTGGTGCCTAACCAGTTCCACCCACCTGGGGTCTGTAGCCACTCCCACACACCTTGGATCTGCTGCAACCACTCCTGCCCCCCTTCTGTCTATAGCCACTCTCGCCCCTCTTCTTTTTGCAGCCACTCTCACTCCTTTTGTCTCTGCAGCCACTCTTGCCCCCCTGGGGTTTATATCCAGTCTTGACCATTCTGAGTCTGCAGCCAATCTCACCCACTCTGGGTGTGCAACCATTTTCGACCGCTTGATGTGTCCAACCAGCCTTGCTCACTGATGTACTCTGACCAGTCTCTCCCACTCCAGGTCTCCAGGAATCTTTTCTTGCCCAGATCTCCAGTGACCTTTTGCCATCTCTGAATCCACAGCCACCCTTGCCCACTCTTCAACCACTCTCATCTGCTCTCGCTTTGTAACCACACTTCCCCCTCTGAGGTCTTCAGCCAGTCCCAACCCTCCTGGGTCTGCAGCCAGTATTTGCCTCTTTCAGTCTGCAGCCATGCACACCTGTCTGGAGCCCCCAACCATGAGTGCAACCCCAGATTGCATTCTCCCCAAATCCATAGAAGACATGTGAGAATGTACAGTGGCTCAGGTGGCTTGACCATGAAAGATAATGAGCATTGTAGGCTCTGTGGGTCATCGTGTTTCATAGCTTGACTCTGCCTCTTCAATTCTAAGAGTGCATCCAGGAGAGCTGAGTATTCTGAAATATCTTGTGTCATCAAGCAGAAACAGGAATCAGCAAGTATGGAATGGGGTGATGTGATATCTTGTACTTCAGCAAGGCTGCAGTTTGAGGGATCGGAAACATAGTTGTGAACAGATAAGTGATAGATATTCAATGGGAAACTGCTGTTTGTAGGGATATCCATGATAGATCATAGTTGCACCAGTGTCATCCCAACATCCCTACCCTGACCAGAGCCAAGAAGTTGTGAGATTTGTGAAATTGGTAGAGGGTCTGCAAGGGCAGCAATGTCAGACAAATGGAGGTATGCCTGCTTGGGATTGGCACAGGTAGAGAGAATACAATCATATAACTTATACACCTCTGTTCCAGGTAGTGATCTATTTGTTAACTTGAGCATAAGCTGAAGGCAAATGTTGGGATCATGTTCTTTATCATTGATAAAGTTGATCATTGTGGAAGCCATGATAAAATGCCTGCCTGCTCGGCTCGCTAGCCATGCAAGTTGATCCCTCAACAGCTGTGGGAAATTGGGATGGCAACTTTGCAACTCTGTGAAGGAATGCTGCAAGAAAATATATATATCTTTGTCAACATCCTTGCCATCTAATGAAATGGTGCCAGCAACTCCCTCCCCAGAAGTGTTCACTGGTATCTTGTACACCAGCAGGTGCATCTCCTCTTTTTGAATGGCTTTGTGGATATGCTTTTCTGAGCGACTTGTAAGCAGGATGTGGATCACAGGAAGATCAGGATCATGAAGAGTTTGGCCAAGGAGAGAGATCAGATCAGCGACAGTGTCAGGCTTGCATTCATTGAGGGTGTCAATAACAAACACTGGAGGTGCACACTCCCACAGCCTGGATTCTAGGTGCCAGAGAGGTTGGTGAAATAATACCTTCATCTGGTCTTGAAGAGACTTGCTGGAGTCCAGAACTGCAGGATTCTCACTGATAGCTCTGTTCATGTCCCTCTGGATGCTGGGAAAATTGGTTGCAAGCTGGTAAGCAAGGGTCGCAAAGAAATGACCAGTCATGCTGCAGTTTGTGTGCTTGTGCGAGAAAAAGAATGTCCCCACAAGCTGTGTTTCAACATTCATCTCCTCTGTCACTTTCAGACCTTTCATCCTCTCAGCTACTGTGAATGCTACAGCAGATTTTCTGATGCCTGCTGTGCCATGCAACCAAATGATTTGACTCTTCTTTTGCTCGTCCAATGATCTGTGGATAATTTTGAGAAGGTCCACTCAGGTCCCTTCCAAACATTTCAGATGGGGCTGGCATTCAGGAGAGTCATATTCAGCACCCAGGATGGTGACATGGGACAGCTTCTCCCAAGGTCCAGCAGATGATTGAGAAACTGTCAATGAGGTCAAAGAATGCAACAAGGGATAAGAGAAGGAGATACTAACACTGATCCCAGCCACTCATTGACAGATATTGATATGAGAATGTCACACCGATTGTGGGTTGGTAGTACTAGGAATGGAACAAGTCAGGAAGGTGCTAGTTGGGTTCAACATTGTAGTTAGAAATCATAGCGGTGCTTGCTATCTTGGATGGGATAACATACACCTACAAGGTTGATTGAATGATCAAAGTCTAAGCTGCAAATTCTATCTTTTGGGTCCGAAGGAGGTTCTGAAATGTTTTGAGATGTGAAATGATTCTTTCACAGCAAGCGTGTTCTAATGCCAGCAGCAAAGTGATTGAGTACTTAATTGAGATGTTTAAAAAGATGCCTGTAATAGAATGGATAATTGGTTGCAGCTATTCAAAGCTTGCCAGATGGTGGTTGGATGCAGACAAGTTGAAAGGATGTGTGGGTGCTTGTCTGCCTGCTGACACCAGGTTGCTGTGTGTGATGACTGTGAGAAGTGATAGCTTTCAGAGTTGGCACAAGTGGGAATGTTTCAGATGCTCAAGTAACCAGATACAAGGATCAAATTCAAGAACACTGGTCTATATGATACAAGTCTAGGTACATCTTATACTGTATCATGCAGAGTGGCTTGTGATAAAGGAATCATGTGTTTAGACTTTGTTTCATATGTGGCAGGGGGGAGCTTGGACCTTTTCTCTTTCTCATTTGGACATGATCAGTCTTGGACTTGTCCATCTGTCACATACCCCCCTCCAGAGGTCGCCCGACCTCTACTTCTTTGGGATATGCCCTTTGACCTTCATGCAGGCTGCCTTAGCCACCTCTGTGGTCTCGGTGTCCATCATCTCAGCATCTGCATCTTCTGGTGGAGATGGGTGCTTGGGAGCCAGTGTGAAGAAGTAATTGGTACTAGGCGGTTAGCAACTAGCACTACTTATCCTAAGAGGTGTGAGTGTTAAGAACCATGCTCAAAGGAGAGAGAGACTGACTCAGAGGGGCTTGGCCTCAGCTTGTACACTGTGCCCCTTACCCAAGTATGTGCCCTTCATTTCAGAGGAAGTCCGATGATGGTCTGATGAAGTCCAGAGGACTTCTGGAGGCTGGCTACTCTGGTGGAGAGTGCGGGAGGACTTCCGGAGGAGCGCGGGAAATGTCCAGAGGAGCATGGGAGAGTTCTGGAGGAATGCAGGAAATGCTCAGGAGAGTTCCCACTGCAAGGTAATACTTCTACAGGAAAACAGGATGGAAGGATAGGAGGTCTGGAGGACAGGATGTCCGGAGGTATGGAGTATGGAGGACAGAACATCTGAAGGTACGGAGGGTGGAATGTCCGAAGGACAGGATGCCCAGAGGTATGAGGGACAGGATGTCCAGAGGTACAGAAGACAGGAGGTCTGGAGGTCTGGAAGGAATAGGGGCTACATCGGATGAAGTCCGATGTAGAAGCAAACAGAGGTAGACTACCCTAAGGTAGAGTCAGAGGGACAGGAAGTGGACCTAAGTCTGGAAAGAGGGTAAGTGCCAGAAAGGCAAGACTCTAGCCTAGGGAAGCAATCCCTAGACTTGGGACAGAGACATAGGGGACAAATCCGAAGGTCCGGAATTCCAGCCTAGGGAATCCATCCCTAGGCCTTATGGAAAAGGACAAACTCAGATGGACTGAAGTCTGGAAGAAGATTAGGCAAGTCTAAGGTGATATTCAGACTGAGGACTCTACTGTAGTTGTACAGGGGTTATATACTAGAGGCTATCTGAGAGGATCAGTAAGCAAAGGAGTAAGGCTATGTACGAGCATGCGGAAACACATTGGTAAGTAAGACAGAACATAAGTAAATGAACTGGGAGATGAAACTAGTACAAGGATCAATCAGCAAGACAGAAACAGAGATAACCGAGAACTGGAAAGGCGGAGATGCCTAAATGGGGATAGGCACAGGATCTCGGACAGAGGGTGGGAATAGGTCCGGAGATAGTAACAGTTAATATCCGGAGATCTGGTGATCCGGAAGGCAGGGCGGAAACAGGACTGAGATATGTGAGGTAGTGGATGTAGTCCAGAATCTGAGAGGAGGTAAAGTCTGGATGTCTTGCTGGACAGAATGTGCATAGGGTGGACAGGATAGGGGATCCAGGAATGAGCCAGATATGGGGTCTGGAAATAGGTCCAGAAAGCGTGGGAATATGATGGGATCTATGTCTGGCATATGGGATATGACAGTGAGTTAATTGATTGGCCTGAGAGGACTACTATTGAATGTCATATCTGCATATCCAGATCTCAGATCTGATACTTATCTCATCTCAGATCCAATCCACATCTTATCTCCCTCCAACATCTCGTCATCCAATCTGTCCACTTGTCTGGTCCAGTCCACAATTTATCTGAATCCACAACCAGTGCTCGTCTCCTTTCAGTAATCCCCTAACTCCAGTATTTTGGTTATCTGTATATCTGTCCTGCTCCCTGATCCATTACCTATGCTTCATTTCTGTTTCATTATTTGTGATCCATTTCTACTTACCAATAGACTATCCATATGCTTTGTACATAGCCTTGGACCCTGCTTGTTAAGGTTGTACTCAAGGCTAAGTGGATCTGAAGGGCTTTGGCCTCAGCTCATGCACTGTGCCCCTTACTCGAGTATTGCCCCTTATTTCAGGAAGGCAAGACTAACACATCTGGAGGGTTGGACAGGTAACATAGTGGATCCAGATGACTTCTGGATGCAGGATAAGTATTATAAGGCTAATCCAGATGAGTCCAGACTAGAAACTAGCAGTAAGGGCTGTTGTAGACAGAGGTGGATGCGGATAGACTATAAGAATCAATCCTAAGTCTTGGAGGGTGACAAGAGTAGCAGTACTCAGGTCCAGAGGACGGGAATAAGCAGAACTAAGTTGATATTTGAACTGAGGTACTACAGAGAGTTACAGGAGGTTATATACTATAGGTATCTAACAGAATGATCAATCAGCAGAGTCCAAGGCTATGTATGAAGCATATGGATGGTCTATTGGTAAGTAGAAATGGATCACAAATAATGAAACAGAAATGAAGCATAGGTAACAGATCAGGGAGCAGGAAGGATATACAGATAACCAAAATACCGGAGTTAGGGGATTACCAAAAGGAGACGAGCACTGGTTGTGGATTCAGATAAATTGTGGACTGGACCAGACAAGTGGACAGATTGGATGACGAGATGTTGGAGGGAGATAAGATGTGGATTGGATCTGAGATGAGATAAGTATCAGATCTGAGATCTGGATATGCAGATATGACACTGCTGATTGATCATTCTGTTAGATACCTATAGTATATAACCTCCTGTAAATCTCTGTAGCACCTCAGTTCAAATATCAACTTAGTTCTGCTCATTCCCATCCTCCAGACCTGAGTACTGCTACTCTCATCACTCTCCAAGACTTAGGATTGATTCCTATAGTCTATCCACATCCACCTCTGTCTACAACAGCCATTACCACTAGTTTCTAGTTTGGACTCGTCCAGATTAGCATTATGATACTTATCCTGCATCCAGAAGTCATCTGGATCCACTATGCTACCCATCTGACCCTCTGGACATGTTATGGTGCAGTTCACTTATGTGCCGCTACTTTGGGGCAACCACCAAATTGAGGGCCGAAATTTCCAACTCCAATCTCATTGCTAAATATGGTAGGTGTGGCAGTGACTTCGATGCTAGTGTCCAAGGTGTTGGATTGTGAGTCGTGATAGACAAGTGTACTATGTACAGGTGAAAGTTAATTATTTCAACCTTTATACAATGGTCCGCAAGTACCACAAATTGGCAGCTGCTTGTGCAAGACTTGCCTGACAAACTCAAGTGAATCCTGCTACTGTCCAAGCCAATGATAGTACTGTGTGGGAGCCCGACAACGACAATGGCAACGGCAACAGTGATGATGACAACGACAATAACTTCAATTGCGGGTTTACTGGTGGTGTTCACTGCTCGTTGCCTGAGCCTGACAGTGACTCAGAATTTGAGATGGATTGGGAGTCAGAATCAGATAGTGGAGAGAGCATTGCTGAGCTGGAGGGCAAAGAGCTCGAAAGTAGTTTGGCACAGTTGAGAGATGAGGTTACCTCACTGGCAGAACCCACACCTTATCAGAAGGTGGCTGGACCCAAGACAAGCGAGAACTGGAAGAAAGCTGAGAGAAGCCGAGGATTAGGATATGATGGACACTCCAAGCGCATGCAGGAGTGCCGACTGCACGATGCTCGTGCTCAAGAGGATTTTCGTGAATATGCAAAGATAAGGTGAGCAGGACTCTTCAGTAAACAACCCCATCAGATCTGAATGCTTACTGGTGTGGCTGTTCAGTACCGATCCACAGATCAGCATGATGTGTGCATTTATGCAAAAAGGTGCTGCACAAAAGCCAGTGCAAAAGAAAATAGCACCAGTGCACAGAAACACACAATATGTTCCAAGCTTGCTGGGCTTCCTTTCCAATTTCTTGAGTGATGAAGATGACAGGGGTAGCAACACCAACATGGATCACAGTGACGATCATGATGGCACCAGTCGTGTTTCCTCGGCACTACCTCAGAAATGCCAGAAACTCAAGGTTCCATATCATGAGCAGTGAAAACAAAAGCAAGCTGCAAAGCAAGCTGAGCTGGAGCACACATACAAAGATATCATGAAGCATTTGAAGTTGAAGAAGACAGTGTTTGTTGGGGGTCCATGTGGTTTACAGGCACGTCGTGCA